CAACAAAGCCTACAGAGAGGATGCCTTCCATGAGCTCCTTCACGTCCATGACGTTAAGGCCGTAGCCTTCTCTGTTGCTGCAGTGAACCCCCACCATCTTCGGGGAATTGTAGCCTCATGAGCTAACCCATGTTGGCGAAGGAGATTCATGATCTCCTGAGTGCTCCGCACAAGCTTGTCCCCGGAGTCCCCAGCATTGCACAAACGCTCCAACTCGAGCTGCACTTCCGGGGTGAGGGCCATGATGCGCAACGAACCAAACTTTCGAGCCCGCAGTCTGTTTCGGACGTACGCATGGTTGACAAACAAAGGTCATGCGCATGGTCTCCGGCCGCAATATGTGCGTGTGCCCTGCATGCGCGACGACCAGCCACGAAGCCGAAAGCCTGCTTGCGAGCAACCCGTGAAAACGCTGCACAGCGTGCAGCGCATGCGCCTCTGCAGCTGGACGAGCGACTGCGGCCGACGCCTGCGTTGGCTTTCCAACTTGGGATTCTGCGCGAAAAACATGTCTTGAAGGCTTATACTGGCGCGACAACCTTCTCAGGCACAGTGCGCCCACATGTCAAAACAGACGAAAAGGATAAGCCGCCCACGCCTAACTTTGATTTTCCTCACATGCGCCCGGCTTGCCGTGCACCAGGAAAGCTGAAGACTGCTCGTCGCTCAAGGGTAAAAAACAACAAACGCCCACGCACAAAACGTGTTCTTGGCATGTGTCACGTGCATGATATTTCCACTTAGTGCACTTAGGTGATTAAGGCGCTAAGTGCAGTAACCTGCTTGCAGGATAAACGCTAAGTGAAAGCCAAATGGTACAAACACATGCAAACACAAGCGGTGTTTAGTATTCACTGCCAGTCAGTTGCCATGTCGGATAATTCCTTTGCTGCGAATGCGTGACTTGGGTGTTAACTTGAGGAGGATACAAGTGGAATAGAACCCTACTTGTTCTACATCGTATATGCTTCAATCAAGCTAAACACATACTACACACCCGGCCCCTTTAAGCGAGCCTCGCGAGCCCCGCGAACCCCGCGAACCCCGCGAACCCTGCGAACCCCGCGAACCCCGCGAACCCCGCGAGCCCCGCGAGCCCGCCAGCCCCGCAAACCCCGCAAGCCCCGCGAACCCCGCGAACCCCGCGAACCCCGCGAGCCCCGCGAGCCCCGCTTGCCCCGCGAGCCCCGCGAGCCCCGCGAGCCCCGCGAGCCCCGCGAGCCCCGCGAGCCCCGCGAGCCCCGCGAGCCCCGCGAGCCCCGCGAACCCCGCGAGCCCCGCGAACCCCGTGCACCCTGCGAGCCCGGCGAACCCCGCGAACCCCGCGAACCCCGCGAACCCCGCGAGCCCCGCGAGCCCCGCGAACCCCGCGAGCTCCGCGAACCCCGCGAACCCCGCGAACCCCGCGAGCCCCGCGAGCCTTGAACCCCGCGAGCCCCGCGAGCCCCGCGAACCCCGCGAGGCACGCGAACCCCGCGAACCCCGCGAGCCCCGTGAACCCCGCGAGCCCCGTGAACCCCGTGAACCCCGCGAGCCCCGCGAACCCCGCGAGCCCCGCGAGCGCGAGCCTCGCGAACCCCGCTATAGCCCCGCGAGCCTCGCGAGCCCCGCGAACCCCGCGAACCCGCGAGCCCCGCGAACCCCGCGAGCCCCGCGAACCCCGCGAGCCCCGCGAGCCCCGCGAACCCCGCCAGCCCTGCGAGCCCGCGAACCCCGCGAGGCCCGCGAACCCCGCGAACCCCGCGAACCCCGCGAGCCCCGCGAGCCCCGCGAGCCCCGCGAGCCCCGCGAACCCCGCGAGCCCCGCGAGCCCCGCGAACCCCGAGAACCCCGCGAGCCCCGTGAACCCCGCGAACCCCGCGAGCCCCGCGAGCCCCGCGAACCCCGCGAGCCCCGCGAGCCCCGCGAACCCCGCGACCCCGCGAACCCCGCGAGCCGCATGAACCCCGCGAGCCCCGCGAACCCGCGAGCCCCGCGAGCCCCGCAAACCCCGCGAGCCCCGCGAGCCCCGCGAGCCCCGCGAGCCCCGCGAACCCCGCGAACCCCGCGAACCCCGCGAACCCCGAGAGCCCCGCGAACCCCGCGAGCCCCGCGAGCCCCGCGAGCCCCGCGAGCCCCGCGAACCCCGCGAGCCCCGCGAGCCCCGCGAGCCCCGCGAACCCCGCAAGCCGCGAGCCCCGCGAACCCCGCAAACCCCGTGATCCCCGCGAACCCGGGAACCCCGTGAACCCCGCGAGCCCCTGCGAACCCCGCGAGCCCCGCGAGCGCGAGCCTTGCAAACCCCGCTAGCCCCGCGAGCCCCGCGAGCCCCGCGAGCCCCGCGAGCCCCGCGAACCCCGCGAACCCCGCGAGCCCCGCGAACCCCGCGAGCTCCGCGAGCGCGAGCCCCGCGAACCCCGCGAGCCCAGCGAGCCCCGCGAACCCTGCGAACCCCGCGAACCCTGCGAGCCCCGCGAGCCCCGCGAACCCCGCAAGCCACGCGAACCCCGCGAACCCTGCGAATCCGCAAACCCCGTGATCCCCGCGAACCCGGGAAACCCGCGAGCCCCGCGAGCCCCGCGAGCCCCGCGAGCCCGCCAGCCCCGCAAACCCCGCAAGCCCCGCGAACCCCGCGAGCCCCGCGAGCGCGAGCCTAGACCCCGCTAGCCCCGCGAGCCCCGCGAGCCCCGCGAACCCCGCGAACCCCGCGAACCCCGCGAACCCCGCGAACCCCGCGAGCCCCGCGAGCCCCGCCAGCCCCGCGAACCCCGCGAGCCACGCGAGCCACGCGAGCCCCGCCAGCCCCGCAAGCCCCGCGGCGAACCCCGCGAACCCCGCGCGAGTACTTCTCGTGAGCGCGAGCCCCGCGAGCCCCGCGAGCCCCGCGAGCCCCGCGAGCCCCGCGAGCCCCGCGAACCCCCCGCGAGCAGCCCGCGAACCCGACCCCGCGAACCCCGCGAACCCCGCGAACCCCGCGAGCCCCGCGAACCCCGCGAGCCCGGCGAGCCCCGCGAGCCCCGCGAGCCCCGCGAACCCCGCGAACCCCGCGAACCCCGCGAACCCCGCGAGCCCCGCGATCCCCGCGAACCCCGCGAACCCTGCGAGCCCCGCGAACCCCGCGAACCCCGCGAGCCCCGCGAGCCCCGCGAACCCCGCGAGCCCCGCGAGCCCCGCGAACCCCGCGAACCCCGCGAACCCCGCGAACCCCGCGAGCCCCGCGAGCCCCGCGAACCCCGCGAGCCCCGCGAGCCCCGCGAACCCCGCGAACCCCGCGAACCCCGCGAGCCCCGCAAACCGCGTGAACCCCGCGAGCCCCGCGAACCCCGCGAACCCCGCGAACCCCGCGAACCCCGCGAACTTGTCAACCCCGTGCCGCCGTCACTTAGCACGGAACAGTCCAAGCCACGGGGGCCCCCCCCCCCCCCACGTATCAGACGTCGGGTAGAAGGGGGGTTAGGGGGGGGGTTATCCTCTATCCTCTCTTAGGTGTCCGACACGCCGAGCAATGTCGGCGGATGTGTGCCGTCTCTTCCTGTCTTTCTTGTTTCATTTATGTATTTACTTTGTTATGTGTGTGTCTGTTCTTTCCTGATTTATGTCTTTACTTATTTGTTATGTGTGTGTTTGTCTGTTTGTATGTTTCTTGATTTATCGTTTTATTCTGTTGGCTTTGCTGTGTTACTTTATGATTCATTTATTTAGTTAGTTAGTTAGTTGCATTGACTTATGCTTATGTGTTTAGGTAGTTTTTTACGTTTGTTGATTCATTTGTTTTGAGTCTTGTGCTTATACTTTTCACTATTTCTTTCGTTCTTTCTTTCTGTCTTGCTGTGTGTCTATCGTGCTGTCTATCTGTCTGTCTGCCTATCTGTTTGTATGTTTCTTTGTGTGTTTGTTTGCTTCATTGTTAGCCTATTGTTCTGTATGTTTGTTTGTGTTTGTATGTGTGCTTGTCTTGCTTCTTTTTGTTGGTTCGATCTGTTTTATGGTTGCTTTGTGTGTGTTCGGTCTGTTTTGTGGGGTTGTTTGTCGTTTGCTTGGCTTGCTTTGCTTTGTGTTGCTTTTTGTTTTGTTTTTGCATGTGTGTCTGGCCGGCCGGCCGGCTGGCTGGCTGTCGTCTGTTTCTCAGGCATGTTTGTCTGTCTTTCTGTCTGTCTGCCGGTCTCTCTACCTTTCTCTCTCTATCTCTCTGTTTCTCTGTGTGTCTCTGTTTGTCTCTGCCTGTCGCTCTCTCTCTCTCTCTCTCTCACCCTCGTACGTTCTCTCTCTCTCTCTCTCTCTCTATCTTTGCGTCTGTCTGTCTGCGTTGTGTCCTTGTTGTTCTGCATGTGGGTTGGCGTGTCTTCTTGTTTGTCTGTGTGTGTGTGTTTGTTTCATTGATTGGTTTGTTTTGGTGTCGCTTGTGTTGTTTTGTTTTTGGTGCGTCGTGTTATGTACTGTTTTGTGTATGTGCTCGCTCGCTGAGCTTGCTTGCTTGCTTGCTTGCTTGCTTGCTTGCTTGCTTGCTTGCTTGCTTGCTTGCTTGCTTGCTTGCTTGCTTGCTTGCTTGCTTGCTTGCTTGCTTGCTTGCTTGCTTGCTTGCTTGCTTGCTTGCTTGCTTGCTTGCTTGCTTGCTTGCTTGCTTGCTTGCTTGCTTGCTTGCTTGCTTGCTTGCTTGCTTGCTTGCTTGCTTGCTTGCTTGCTTGCTTGCATATTTCTGAGTCTTTTTCAGTCGCCTTATTTGTTGAGAGTATTGCCGGCATTGGGATGGCATCGGATGGCATGTGTGGCTGCTTTTGTTCAGCAGTTGCTTTTCTGTATACTCATAGGTGGGCAAATCCGTAATGTCAAAGCAGGGCATAACATGAGCGCGGATGTTGCTTGGGTTGGAGTGGAGACAACCTCAATCGCGAGCCTGCAAGAGCATTGAGCTGCTGCGAAGATAAAGCAGTGTTTCTTTCTCTTTGTTTGCAAAAGGGATCCGAGAATCATCGACTCCTTGCTCATGAGTGCATCCGCAGCTCAAGCTTGCAAGCCTGCAGGCGCCGGACGTCCGGTTGCCGCAGTGGCGCTACCTCGCCCCAGATGGGCAGGAGTGGGGTGCTAGGTCGAGCCTTTGGATTGCCACGTTTGGGGTTGGATGTGTCAATGAGAAGAGGTGCACATATATTTACATATATATATATATATATATACTGAATTTATATACCTCTATATATATATATATATATACATATTTTCACGCCTGCTTATTATCAAGTGTTTCCTCATGAAGTTAACCAAGTTCCACGATGTTCCGATGGGCTCATTTCCTGATAGGCTGAGCTACCGGGCTGTCCACGTGCCATTCCTTCGCAACCTGTTCCCCCGATTTGGTTGTTCTGCCTGTCGGTGCATGATTGCGCACCAGCACGGAGTTCCAATTGCCTGCCATGTACAGTCCCTTGCCTATGACATGGGGGGACCCAACTGATATTTCGAGGGAGATTTTGGTCTTGTCCACTGCATCATGCCCACTGCAATCCACCGGCTAGGTATGAGTGTGAGATTTTTGTGTGTGTGTGTGTGGCGCTCGTGTCACGTCACTTATGGCCTGACAACAGGTTGGCAGAAACCCAAACGTGGCATTTCTGGATACTTCAGACTCACGAGGGAGGTTCTCGAAACTGAATCCGAAGAAGGACTCGGGCTAAAGTTTCAGGGCATCGCTTCTCAAGTTGCACGACTCATTTGTTGCCGTATCATCAATGAACCTGCAACCAAGTCTCAGCTACACCCACAAACTTCCAGCATTTGCCAACTTGCAGAGTTTTTGATGGCTTGCGGGTGCGTTGGGCCACGTGAGTACTGCCGGAGAATAGAGACGCCTTGAGAAGATGGCCAGCATCAAACCATCCCAGAACATGTGCGTGTTTCTCTAGTGGCCTGGGGGCTTAGGGGAGCCCCAAACTGGTGTTGCGGGTTTCCTTTGAATCCACAAAAACAAGGTACCCCCCAAGAAAAGCAGACACACCCATGTCAATGTGTCTTTGTGAGTGCGCAATTGTTTGGTTGGTTCCATGGGGTGGACGGGCAGGAGCGCTTGGCGATTCGGTCGGGGCCTGGCTTAGACGCGCCCACCACTGGGGGCTCCCTGGGATCCGGGGAGGCGGGGACCGGACCGAGAGAGCCATCGGCAATATGTCGAGCAGTTTGCACAGGAATGATACACAGAAATCTATTGTTTGCCCGTTGGTGTACTTCATGGGCTGTGTGGCACTGTCTTGTTAGGTGGCACCTTGAAGACTGCTTTAAGCAAGATTCGCTGACTTTGCCTGGTTCATGTGTCTTGTAGCTTCCAGCAATGGTGTTGGCCATGGCCTATTTGCCTTACCTCCATGCCATGCCGGTCAAACGCAACAGCGAGCTCTCTGAACATGGAATCCAAAAAAGGATTTTCCAGGGAGGATTATACAAGAAATACATTTCTTAGCCAGCAAGAGTAAGCATTATGGCTTTGGCAGCGAGCCCAACAACAGCACTGCTTAATTGGACAACATTCCAGATGCGTGGTTTGCTGAGAAACACATAAAGTGGGGCCATTAAAATATTGAAGAAAGAAGAAGACGATCAACAACTGCAAGCTCCAAGCATAGGTATCCCTTTGACGTCAGCGTGGTTGAATACAATCATCTACCATTTTTTTCCAGCGCCATCTATTTGCCAACTCTCCAAGCAATGCGACTCCTGTGTTGGGACACCACTGAGTCCAAGCACCTAGGACACCTTTCTGGGTGTCCCGAGTCCCAGGTCTTTACTGTGGTAGAAGAGCGGCCGAACAACGGGGTGCTCTTCCTCAAGTCCGGACCTTGAGCTAGTGGCCGGCAGGCGAAGCGAAAACCATAGAAAGAGACCTCAAGGTGTGTCTTTGTGTGTCTTGGAGTTGGTGCCCACAACAAAGGGGTTGGGTTAGCGGGGGACCAAACGGAAGCTGCACATTTTGTGGTGGCACGCCTATTTTGGGTTGCTACGCCTGTGTTGACACGTCCCCAATGTCTCACAGTTTCTGGATTGATACTTGGGAAGACTTGGTTTTCATAATTCAGTCTCTGTTGGACTAATTCACCCAATTGGTCAGCAGAACTGACATATGTTTAGGATTGTTTCGGTGGTCCGCTGCAGCTATGGAGCTGCTTGCAGACACGAAATGTTTGAACACGTGCATTTATGTTTGATTTCTCCGCGAGTTGCCCGTCCTCGCCCTTCGGGCTTCGGGCTTCCCACTTAAGGATTCCATGCAACCTTGAAGCTGCGTGATGTGAGGCACCCCACGTTTGCCTCCAGTTTCTCAGCGGAAGCCAGTCCGAGGTTGGCAAGTGGTGGCTGGGAGCTGCCGGCATTTCCATTGACAGAGGGAATGGAAGGAAACCGCCATCAGCATAGTGCTGCTTGGGAGGGTAGGTGGCGGGCTGGTTTCAGCTTGTTTCCAACCATGTAGCACTGCCACCTATCTTTCCCGAAGGACACATATAGAAGGATCAGCATGCATGCTGGCCTATTGTTCGGCAAAGTTTGCCTATCTAGCAAGAGGACTGCTATTTCATCATAGGTTTCGGCAAGGTCGCCCTAAGTCCAAACAATTCTTCAAAATATGTCAACGTCGCAATCAAAGCCTCGACTGCCCCTGCTGTGCCTGGTTGGCGTACCGTGTATGGATTCAGGTCCGGTTATCAGGTTTACTCTTGTCATGCTTGCTTACTTCTCTTGTGGCATTCTAGGAGTTTGTTTTTTTTTAATAAAAAGCGCAAGCCAGCATTCGTTGGCATCTTGTGTGTTGTACCTGCCTCCCATGGCAGGTCTTCGATCGAAAGCACGCGCGGCATGGAAGGAAAAGGAGATCCAAGCCTTTGTGCGTGCCCTACCAGGCGAGGACTGAGTGCCCGATGTTTCAATGCTCTGGTCTTATCCTTCTACCCCTGTTCGGAATCCAAACGCCACCTGCATCGAAGTTTGGCCGTAAAATCGGTCTTCCTTTGGCGATGTCTGAAGGGGGCATATAAGAACGTTTGTTTTCGGCGGCAGGTGCCGCTGATCGAGGATGAAGATGGGATCAAGGCCCACAAGGCAGTTCCGTGCGCGCATAGAAGCCGGTCAGGTGTGTCAGGGTCAAAAGATCTGGCTGCTTTGGGGTTAGTAGGGCTGGTCATGCACCACTGAAACTGGAAGACAGATAGACCATGCAACATGGGCATGATCCACCAGATGATGACTCAGCTCGCATCTTAGAACACTCGGGACACATGGGAACACTTGGAGGCCCTGCTTCAAGTTCAAGTGGCGAAGCATTCGCATTTGTCTCCGCATTGTTGGACACTCATCTACTTTTACACTGCCCTGCACCTGGCCGTGAGAGGTGCGCAGGCGCGGCAAGGAGGTGAGAACTGTAACCAAGGCAGGGCTTTTGCATGCCACATGCCGTGGTTGGGTGCTGGTTGTTTTGTAGGGACTAAGACTAAGTGAATCCAAAGAGTAAAGGATGATGGTTCTGAGGCTCAAGAGTAATTAGAGCTTCCGGGGCTGCTGTTTTGATAAAGAGCAGCAAGGCAGAAGCAAGGCTTCATTGGCAGTGCTACTAGGAAATGCGTTCCAGTTCGGGATGTTCTTCATAGTGCAGCCTGCGAATCAAATGCTGATCACTGATGCATGTTATGGACATGACTTGTGGACTAACCCAGGCGAAGAAACGCAGACGGACTGCGATGGTGGATCCTTACATGACAGACGCTCTATTGCAAGCAGTGCAGCGACGTGCTGGAGATCCGTTCATGAAAAAAGCCACGATGCTTGCTTGCGAATGTGTTTTTAATGATTTCATTCCATAGGGATTGTTGTGTGTGTGTGAGTGTGCTAAGATGCCAGAACAAGGCATAGTGAAGACCGGAATCTGTCCGTCAAATTGATGATGCAGGAAGCACTTGACATGGTTGGCAAGGAGGGCTCAAAGATGTGCCATAAGTCTGAATATTTGGAGCTGTTTGGAACACTGGCAAGAATGGTTGATGAACATAAACCCCAACCCAGACAATGTCCACTAAAGGGTTCCCAACTTGAATGCCTACTACCAGAATGACTGCAAGAAGAAACATGCAAAAGAAAGTTCGAGAAATGTTTAGGCAACTGTATGCTGAACATCCAGGCGTCTGGTCTTGGCACTGCATGTTGGCTGAGGCAGAAGCTGGCAACGTCATTGAGGTGGGACAGACAGCGCTTCGCGTTCGGGGCAGGAGTGAAGATGCCGATGGTTTTAGCGACCGACAGGCCAAGCTGCGACCCACTGAGTGCTACGTACATGATAGTCCAAAGACAACCACGACACATGGCAAAACTGAGTAAATTGAAGAGCGTGCGAAACTGAAGAAGGCTTTCTGCCGAGGAGCAATGCAAAACCTGCAATGGGTAATTATGCATTGTTCAGGCTCAGAGTTTCGCACGGCTGTGCCCCATCGAAAGCAAGGCATGTGCTTGTACGCAAGCAGAATCCTCAAAGGGGCGATACGTCATGGCCTTTGGTCTCAATTTAGGTCTTATGTTTGCTTGGTGGGCAGCATTTACACGAGGACGTATGTCCATGTTTGGGGGCATTCCAACCGAGGGCCGAATATAAGCATGTGAACCTCTTTGAGTTGCGTTGGCTAGATGTTCAAAGCATTCAGATTCATGGCAATATGTCAAAGCGCATCGCGTTAAAGCCAGCTCCGTGATCAAGGTACTTTGCTGGGGAGTCCCTTTTTTCCAGCTGCCCAAACGCATCCCGAGCGAGTGCTTTAGGTGGATTCGGACGACGCCCGGCCCGAGCGCAGCGTCAGGGAGCCAAGGGAGTCCGTACCCCGCATGGTTTCAAACGGAACCGGTTTGCAACATGGGCTTCGGCTTCCCTATGGTTTCTCTTAGCAAGCCCCAAGAGGATTCTGAGCAAGATACACAAAGGGTGGTTGCCCACTGAGCATGAGCCAAGCCGCTGGGGAAACCAAGTCATGAGTGGATCTCGAATGTTTGACCCGTACCTGCAGAGGAGCCCACGGTGTTGCTTCGCTGATAATCACAGAATAAGGCCAGCCCAAATTGATACTGTAGCCCTTGGCTCCCTCCTTCACCAGTCCCTTGGAAGATTGCGGACAGTCTCTTCCGGGGAGCAGCCGGTTGCTTTGCCAAGCGACATGTAACGTGCAGCCCTTTTTGCGCCAGCGTCGCCACATGCAACGCAATGTTCTACGAAGTGTGTTCCCATTCTCTGTCCGATTGTTCTCTTGGGTTTGGGGCTTTCAACAAGCACGGTGCACGAACTGGCGGGATTTTGGGAACCGGGGAAACCAGGCTGCAGGGAACCAGGCTGCAAGCGAACCTATTTTGGGAACAAACCATGCTCTTGGGAGCCCAGCAGGGGAACGAGGCCCGGAGCCAGTCTTTGAGGCACTGTAGTTTATGCGGTTTATGTACATTCTACAATTGTTCATGTCTGTAGAGCCCCTGTATTGCGTTGAACTGAACATGGCCTGCAAAGTGTGCAACAACGGGTTTACCACAAACAGTACGCATGCCCACTTTCGCTAAGAATCGTAATTGTCAGCATCCCACTGAACATGCAACAATTTGTTTGTGTGGGTTTGTGCGAAACATGCTGGCAACTCTTTGCCTTGCATACTTCTTGCTTCCAGAACAGCCGTGTGATTTGGCTCGACCAAGGGCAAGTCTCTCACACCATCCCGGCATTTTGCCCAGTTTGGCACACGGACATAATCATCGCCATGGAATGATAGCTTCCCAGCCAGAACTCTGATCCATACCCGCCTTCTTCAGACTAAACAGTGCAGACTAGAAAAAATCGGCAAGCCTGCAGTACGATCAGTAAATAGACCGTTTCATGCCCTCTTCATCTCTTTTCATTTTGCAGTTCGCCCAAGCCAGACTCGAAGCAATCGTGTTGTAAGATGCTTTGCCCAAAGACGTGGCGGCCAACATTGTGCTTCTAGTTTGCCTTGACACCGCTTTGTACGCTTCACGGGGCAGTTTGCAGGGCATATGGCAGGTACGTGAGCATGGCAGAATTGCTGTAGCGCTTCCAAATCCTTCAATGTTTGATCCGATATGAACAGTCTAAACATCAAGCATTTCTCATTTCAAGTACAGTGGGGTGGGAAACGGCGGGGGGGAGACGCAAATGTACACAATGAAGGGACACACAGTGAATGTGTTTGTTGTTTTTTAGAAGTGGGGGGAGGAAAGTGGAAATGCGCGCAAGCAAACCAGCGACTGCACATGGGTGTCTCGGTACACTGCAGGACCCCTTTCCCCCACCCGCACCCCCCTCTTTGCCCAAGATCGTTCATGCCCACATTGACTAATCCACCATTGGCTTCCTATAATGTACACCCCCAGTGGCAAGGGGTGATGTGTAGCTCATGTTTTGAAGTCTAGAATACCTCTAAATCACATAGTCGGAAACATGCTCAGATCATGACCCTTCTGGAAGGAAAGGCCTAGTACCATCAAACAGCCCAAAGTCTGTGTTTGCTGCGCTCCCACAGCCACATCAAAACGTTCCAGACCCCTCCAAACAATTGGTGCCATAGTTGTTGGGTCTTTTCGGTTGTCCTACTTTGTGCCCTTTTTTGACACCAGCAAAACATTGAGCCCTGTTGTTGCTGTCATTTCAGTTGTTGTTTTTTCTTTCGGAAAGCCACGCTCGGCTCCGCTCTGCCCTCCAGGCGGCGAAACAGGCAGCCAAGGATCTGACGGTACTGGGGTGTTTTCGACGACCATGGGTTTGGCGCTTGCGAGCGTGGTGTTTCCTGCATTCTTGACTCAGTTGTGTTCATGCCTAATTCACACGCTTCCCAGTACGTTTTCATTCATTCATTCATTCATTCATTCATTCATTCATTCATTCATTCATTCATTCATTCATTCATTCATTGATTCATTGATTCATTGATTCATTGCTCATTTCGTTGATTTTTTTGGCTAATTGATTGATGGATTGGATTGGATTGGATTGAACTGGGAATTTGTCGCCGCAGGAGAGTTTGCCAAGTACTGCCCAGGCCTATTGAATTGCAGAACGGGACGCTCTGCGGGCCCTGTTTTTACAGTGTTTGAGCGTGCCCTGTTTTTACAGCGGTTTAGCTTTCTAGCTTTTGCAGCTGATCACCTTCAATATGGATTATGTTTGATTCAAGTGCAATGCGTTGATTATGTAGTTGTTGTAAGTAGTCGACAGTGTGATTGAATCCATTTAGATACGAATACTTTCCTCTTTCGCGTTAGCAAGGGAATCTGAGAGCCTGGAATGGTAGATGTTGTCAGTGCCCGGGGGGGGAGGCGGGGTGGGGGGGGGAGAAAAAGAAAAATATATTCCTTTGTTTTTGTTTCTTTTTTTTTCGCCCCCCCCCCCCCTCCCCCCGCCGGGAGACTTGCTTAGAGTTCCGTCCCCCCAATGCGAAGCTCATGTCCCTGTATTTAAATCTGCATCTGCTGCATTTTCCAGAAAACAATGGCTCCATGTCTGCTGACTGTCGGCTCTACATGGCTGCGTCTCGTCCGGAGATGCTCAATGCGCTGCCGTCGGCGCTCCACAGCCCAGAGGCCCTAATGGTTCGCTACAACAAGAGGGTTGGTCCGCAATGGGTTGATTCGTGACTATGAACAGGTGATGCTCAAGTTCGGTGCCCTAGAGTCACTTCTCCCGACACCAGACCCCGCTCTCAGCAAGAACTCATGGGAGAAGAAAATGCTCCATGCTCGCACTATTCCTCAGCTTCTTCGCGAGTGTGACGATACGGGGCATCGAGCAGGCTGGCCTAACTACATCCTGAGTTGTTATGAAGACATTTTGAGATGTTTTGCCTGAGTATCGTAGCCTCGCGCCCGATCCGGCGAGCAATCCCACAGACTCTGTATGGATTGAAGAGTCCAGCTGTGCTTTCATCATCCTTGAACCCGTTTGCGCACATGGCTAAGCTCGTTGCAGGATGTGTAATGGATGGAAGTGCAACCAACGCGTGACCAAAAATGCAGCCCTGTTTCTACGCTAGCATCGGGGCGTGCACTCTGTTCAGACTCCGCTCATAGTTCTCATGCAGCGCACCTACTTTGAACGCATTCACTTGCATGGCCGTTTGCGAGCTGTTTTTTGCAGTTCAAACCATACTAGGCGCACCTAGTACGATACACCTTCGTAACTCTTGTCACTCACAAGACTCGTTGGAGGCTGCGTTGTCTCGTGCAATCCAAGAAATGGAGTCGCCCCCTGGTCCGCCCGAGTCACAGCAGCCACCGGCTAAGAGGTTGCGTGGGCAGCAATTGATACCTGGCACACACGCGTGTGATTTCTTTTTTCTATGTACACACTGGTTGTCTGTTCGTCGCTTTCTACCATTTTCTGTGCATGTTCAGATGTACAGGACAGGACAGCCTCCCCTCAATATCCGGCGTGGCAATTTCCATGACATTCTCTCCAAGCTCGCGCTGAAGTCGAGGCAGTCCAGTGATCACCTGCGTCAGGTCACCTCGAACAAAGCTTGGAAAGCCAGTTGGCCGCGAAGGATTGCGGATTAAAGTCATTTACGGGTAATGCACATGCTTCAGTTCGTTTGTCTCTTTGGAACCAATGGTAACATTGTTTCCATTGCTATGTTCCTTTGTATCTTGGTGTTGTCTTGACAATACTCAACTGTGCATATTATACAATTAGGTCGTCAGCAAGTCAGAACATGAGGTTGGGAAAAGGAGTCGTGGGTAGGACCTTCGAGCCGAAAAACTCAAAAACAAAAACGCTATAAAACACTGTAAAAACAGGGCCCGCCGGGCGTCCCAGACTCTTGAATTGCGGGACTGCCATCAGAATCGTTAATCCATCCTGGTGTTTTTCTGAAGAAGAGCAAAAACCATGATCCTCACGTGGAAAGAGGAAATACTAGAACCAATCAAATAACAGCAGATAGGCAATCAGAGCGCAGTCAAAGCGTTCCTTACTGACTTTGGTGGTTTTCTTCTTATGCAGTTCTCCTGGCGGGCTTCGGTACTTGCAATAGGAAATTGTCTTTTGTTCTGTGGTGCAAGGTATTTGCAATGTCTCCCATGGTGGCATGGTAGAAAACCTGGATGCTGGAGGCGATGAGATGTACATTGGTGAAGAACAGCTGGTTTCAAGCACTTGAGCCTCTTGCATTGCATCGATCAGCCGAGTGGAGCGTCCTTACGCGCAGTCACCAAGCTTTCAGAGGAACGTGCCCAGTAGCGTTTGTGATCTGTGAGTTCTGCCCTGTTGACAGATTGTGGTTGCACGTGTTTGTGGCACCAAAGACAAGGGTTCAGAGAGATGATTCTCCGGCAGGGCCATGCCCTCTTGCAACTCGCAAGGCGCCAGCCAGGAGTGCCGAAGTAGCGACTCTGGCCAGCTGAAAGCGCACCTGACAACAAGGTCCGATCTACAAGCATTCCGAGCGATGTGGCTGCGCTGCGAAGGGCGCGGCCTTGCGAATCACTTGGGTCAAAGCCGGCCCAGCGGCCCAGTGGATGGCAAATCTTGAGAGCCATAGAACCGGGGGCTGCAGCGAAAACAAGCTGTGTTCCTTTAATGTTCCCTTAAAGCCGCTTCAAAGTTCCATTTCCCCAGATCTAGGAGCAGCTGCGGCTTCAGCTTGAGCGGAAGCAGCACGAGGTCCAGGCAAGTTCGTGGACTCGAGAGGCAATCGTTTTGCGGCCTACGCGGGTCCTTGTATTTCTCTCGCTGGGTGGATTACAGGAATATCATGAGGGCCGTGTTGAAATGAGTTTCCTTTTGGCGGGATGAGGTTTAAAGGAGAAATTTGAAGGACTTGGGCTATGTGTCAGAATGGATTGACCTGATGCCCTTTGTGAGTACGAAGAAGAAACCACGTAGTTCATCAAATGGGGGAGGGTCGCAGCAAGGGGAGCCACTCATGTTTTCGGGTTTTGTCGACGTTCAACGGTGGCGCTTTCTTGCGCGAGTAAAATTTCAGATTGCTGGCACAGACAACAGGTGCATGCCCAATAAGACAAGATGGAGACTGATAATTACTTATAGTCCTTGTAGTGCATGTGCAATATGCTACTCAAGAGCACACTGCCAATTATCCATTCGAACAGGCGAATGGACCAGAATAGGTGGTTTCATAAGAGAAACAAGCTGGGAGCGCAGCAGACAAGTCCCTTGGACTGCGTCGCATTGCATGCAACATGACCTGCATCAGCAGTGGTCATGAAGGCGTTGCATGACAGGATATGCCAGGTTGAGATGAGCGGCTCAACAAGTTGCGGCCCCCAATACGGTTGATTTATATTGGTGTGCCATCAGTTGTTTTTCTGTTTTTCAGCCTTGTGTGCGTGTGTTGTTTGGTGGTTTTAAAGGGAAGCCAAAATGAAAACCGCAATTTTGGCGGAGTACAAAAAGACACACTCTACAAGCAACTCGTCAACGTGGCAGGCTTTACGAGCCAGGCTCTCTCAGCTCGACACCCCTCGTGAGGAGACTCGCCTTTCGGGAACCGTGCGGCACGTGTTTTCTTCTTTCTCCCGAACCTCCTTGAGTCATCCCGGAGGTCCCATCCCGAGCTACAACAAAGGTTGCCCCCGCCGCTCAACTAAATGCCGTTGATGTGTTTTCGGGGGGACCGCTTTGGGATTGGTTAGGAGGGAAAAGGGAGTTCCCCCTTGAAACCCCAACCACCAACCGGCGTTTTTGTTCCAGGAGCGGCAGAGCCTTCCAGCAAGGCCCGGAAGTCGAGAGACCCTGGAAAGCGTGACAGGTGTCCTAAAATCGGGCGACCCAAGGGCAACTGAAAGGAAACATGTGTTTTCGGCGCTCCCGGTCCCTTTCGGGAAAATCCAGTGTGAAATGAGGGCGGTCAAGCGAAAATATTCCTTGCAGCAGCGGTGCCTGCAATTCATTTCGATGTGGCTGTTTTTGGTAGAATGTTGATGCAGGATTCCGTGTTTAGACTTAGATGTTCAAGACAAGTTGCATAATGCACCTCTGAATGGCGAGGGTGTGGGTTTTTTTTGGAAACGCGTGTTGTGGATGCCTTGATATTGCATACGCAATTGAGGTGTGGAGGGTGGAGAGTGTGGAGGACCTACTCAATTGCGGGACTAGGTTTCAAAGGGCGGCCCAGCTTTGGATTGTTGATCATGTCCATATTGACGAATGTTGATTTGACAGAACAATTGTGCCGGAGTTTGCATGGACTGTAGAAGAAACCGCCACTGAGGCCTGAAGCAGCTTCAGCAGAGTTCAGAAGACATGTTGGGCCATATAACCATGGTACATGAGGTCTTGATTTTGACATCGAGACGGTCAAGGTGTGGAGGATCAAACAACGTCACAGCCTTGCTCCATGTTTGTCTCCCTTGCTTTCTACTATGGCCAGGCAAGTGCTGCTAGGCGCGGCGTTCTGCATTTGCATTGACACGCTGATCGGTGTGAGACGAATTTCTCATCAACTGCATGTCGCCATGTGCCGGTGGTGTTAACCTTTGGTGGTTTTTGCGTGAATTGGCTGATTGGTTGCAAGGGGGCGCTTCTCCGATTCCAGCACGGCAGTGGGCTCCAGCTTGTAAAAATGAGGGAAGCTCCCGAATTGTGGTTTTTTGTTGGTGTTGGCTTGCTTCTGCTTTTGTTTATCCCAACTGGTCCCCAATTTTGCCGCAGGCCGCAGTGCTGCCGAGGTTGGGCTCGGCTTGTGCAAAACCTGCGGCCATAGCAGGGGATATGGAAGTGGTCAAGTAACGATCAACGTCTGAGCAATTCGCGGATGACTTTGTAAGGAATGCATGTCGCATTTTGGAGCACTCTTGTCCTGGTCTCCCATCTGAACGCATGCCCAATCTATAGGGAAGCGGACGTGGGGGGTCCAGCCGGTAGCGGAGTATGTCACCAGCTTCTGCCCCAAGACATAGATATGCACAAAGTCAGGTCATGAGCAGTGCAATATCTCCAAGATTACAAGTCGACTACTCCTGTTTCTCAGAAGTTGAGTTCTTTGCTGGGCTTTGCTTTCCATTTGTTGCTGGTTACTTGGGCCTGTTAGGTGTTGCGTTGGTTGAATGGCCTTTTGCCCGCTGTTGGCCCAGCCATTTGAGCCAAAACCCCCACCATTTCGGACGTGTCTTCCAGTTGCACAAGGCTTCCCATAGGGCTTTTGTGCGGTTAGGAAGCAAAACCGAAAAAGACGCCCACCCCACAGTCAGGGTTACTTAGAAATCAGGTAAGGGCCATGCATGTATTTCCCTGTTTACGAAACCCACAGTCAGCGATGCTCAAAAACTATAATAATATTCATAATATATATATATATATATACACATGTACATACTCCGTTGTTGCAGCCTACGGTTTTGCCTGGTTGTTACCAGCCAAACGTTCAACGGGTCAACAGTGCCCTCACGCACCTTTCGCGGGCAGGCCGCGCACGAGCAGATCCTGGACGAGAAGCGCCGGGAGCTGCAGGCGGGGGAATACGGAAGTTGGCGAAACGAAATCGGATGCCCAAAGTCCAGGTCAGCATATGGAGGAAACCAGGGGGAGGTGGGGGGGGGGGGGTTAAATTGTTTCCAAATCTTATTGCCCCACTTCGAAACCGCGGTTGCAGCCTTCTTCCCTGAGGCGGGTTGAACATCCAGGGAAGCTTTGGTGGATATTTGTGCACACGAGTGAAGGGAGATGAAAGGAAACAGGAGGGTTTCAAGGAAGATTGGATGGCCCACTGACCATAGTTGTCCTGACCTATCCCCTTCAAGGGGGCGGAGGGGTGCAAAAGATGGAGAAAGCCGGATGTTTGCATGAGAGAGCTCACCCCAAAAGGATTACGAACTCACGCTTCCGGTTTCTGAGGGAGTCCTTGATTCAGTTGGGAGCCCCTTTTGGATGGTGCAGGCGGAAACTAAACGAATGTATCTACTTCTGACACTACCAATCAGCCGAATATGTGAAGCCCCCACCAGAGCTACTCCCTCAGGATGCGAGAAATATGTTTTCCTAAGGAGAAACCAGACAAGAATAGAAGCTTCAAAAGCAAGGCACGTGTCCTCCTTCGTTCTCCATAGTTTTGGTTTGGTTTGTTTTGGTTTGGTGAGCGACCCACAGGGAAGCGCATGGCTTCCTGAGGCAAATCTGTCCGCAAATGTCAAGGCAACCCAGGGTTCTTGTGTTCTTGTTTCTGTTTGCTTCCAGGGCTTTGTTTTGGACACGGTGAAGGAAGTACTGCAAAAGTGGCATCTCCACTCCGAACGGTTGAGCCGAAGATTTGGCTCTACATGCGCCAAGGTCAGAAAACACCTAATACGTGAGACTCATGGAATGGTCCTGGAATCGTTTGGAACCGTCACGAACCCTGAACACCACACATGTTTCACAACCATTTTGAGGGTTTCAATTGAGGGAGCTACGGTCATGGCTAAACGGCAAGGTTGGTCATGTTAGATAGCAGCGGTCCTGTTTACAGCAGCAAAAAATCAGCCAGGCTATATATTCGCTGTGGAGGAGTGGCAGTATCACCCCCTGTAAAGCTTGTCAGACTCACAAGAGTTTGCATTGTATTGCTTATGTTTGATGTCAGGGCCCCATGCAGCAAGGTGTGCCTAACTCCCGTATGGTAAGAGTGCAGTCTTTTGTTCCATCAACTGCTTGTGGCCCAGGCACGACCGCGGCCGAAGAACAGAGGGTCAAAGGAAGCAACACGAGTGGATCCTGGGCCACGGTGAATTTACCTAGTTCGAGGGATTTCAGCAGATGACAAGGATTATAAGACAGTAAAAGACTTGGGACAAGCTATGAAATGCCCCCAACTGCAGAATGTTAACCAAAATGAATGCCTGTATATTGGGCGGACACACCTTCCCCATTCCCATTTTTGGAGTATGCTTTGTCAGAGCCAGGCGATGCTGGCCAGGAAGAGGCGGGGCTTCTTGGGGAATTTCTCAAAGACTTTCTTGGGAACTTCTTGAAGCACGAAGCTGCCGCATGGCGAATTGTTCAATTATGAACCCAGCGAAAATCAAAGTTGCAAGGGCGCACTCAATTCACAAAGGGCTGGGCTGCCTGAAGTGCGCTCATGACGTATGACTTACATGTCTGATTTTTGGCCCGGGACTGCAAAGACCCGCTAGTTGTTCAGCCCGAGAATTCATGAATTCCCGATGCACACTTGCATCACAGGTGGTTCAGCCCACTTCTCAGCTGCTGGTTTGTTGATGTTGAGAGCGTCCTGTTTGATGCAATGATTGCTCAAGTAAGACTCCTTGGATATCTTGCGAATAGTGCAAGTCATGCGGTGTAGAAGCGTGCACGGATGCTTTGAGCAATCACAGTCAATTCTCAGGTTTCGCGCCTTTCGTAACCGCCTCCTTGACATGCCTTGGCAGGATTTCCAGAAACTAAAGTCGCAATGAGATTGCAAAGACCTTGTCCACAGCATGGCGTTCTGTTTTGGGTCCCCGGCACCACTTGGGCTAAGCCCTGGATCCGAAATGTGATCACATTGATATACGCTTCAGGAAAAAAGTGAGGCCGATGTAGCATGTGGCTTAGGAGGCAGACCGATCGACTTGGCAGCATGATAAATAATTGCAGCGTGTCAAGTCATCAGCAAACGGTTTCCGCCGAAAATGATAGCCGTTTGCTTGGAGTGCACAATGCAGCCGCTCGACGGGTTCGCTCAATGGAGTTCTGCACAGCCCAGGGCCCTGAGCGGGGTGGGAGTGCAGAAGCCGCCCCGATACGTGGACTGAAGGCCCTTGGTTGGAAGCTCCTCCCACTTTACAAGGGCAACTAGAAGGGCCCTCCAGATGGCGTCACGTTAGTTTCCAACTACCCCAAGGGTGACGGTGACGCCCTCCACATTTCAAGATATACCCACTTAGTGGAGGATGTTTTTAGAGGAAGCCATGTCAGTCGAAAAGCCTTTCTCTGAAGACCAAGCTTGCCTTTCAAGGGCTCTTTGCCACCAGGAACGGCCTCTCCGCTAGGCGTGCTATGGCGTGCTAACATAGAAATTACTGACTGGGCAAAGGGACAACTCTGGAGATAAAGTTAGCGTTCGGAGGCTTTGGGAATAGCAGGCAAGTGCAAGGAGCATTTGTCAACCAACACTTGCGGCAAGCAGACCGTCCACATGCATGGACAGCAAGTAGATTTGCCTTCCAACATGCTTTGACTGCAGATCGGAAACTGCCAGCAAAGTTTTGCCAACTGGCTTTCTGCATACAGGTACTATTGTTATTGAATGCAGCAGAGACATCAGAGACAGCAGAACAGGGAGCTTAAGTAGGACACAAAGCAGAATGAAATGTGTTAGTATCACTTCATGCATTTGGAGCTGCAGCCAACAGCGCAAGACACAAGTGCACACCTACATGACGTGACGAGGACAGACAACAATCACTTAAAGCCAGAGCTGGGATTGTTTGTGTTCCAAGAGCAGCGATCGCCTGGTCTTGAAACATGCATGTTCTTGTATGACTTGTCAAGTTGTTTTCCACCCAAACGGTTGCGGCTGCAACGGGCGCACTTGCCAAAGATGTGGGTGCCCCCCATGGCAGCGCTGATCTATTCAACTTCCACTGCCGGGCATCAAATACACCAATTCCCGATGATGAGATGATGACGGCAGGCATTTGAAAGAAAGAGCGTGCTGCCTGCATATTTGCTTGGGTGTGTGTGTGTGTGTGTGTGAGATGTGTTTCATGAGCAAGTGCTTTGGAACACAGTGTATTGCCTCGGCACGGATTGAAAGAGCTCATCCCTGTTTATTTTGGGTATTTCGGAAAGCTGACAATGTACTGCAATAGTTTGTGTGTGTGGTGCTTGCCACTTGCAACATGTCAAGAATCCACGGTCGAGTCGAGTCGAGAAACCGTGTGCTCCTGACAGCACATTGGTAAGGTCAGGAATCCAAGCTTGCATGGAAACTCGAGAAACAACACCCTGGGCATCTGGCGGGTGGAGTGGCTGTGCAGGTCAGCGCCAAGCAGTCCTTTCAGTGAAGGGTATGCCTTCCTATCGGCACCAGTACGCTGCCGGATGTTTGACCTTCACTACTTTCCGGTGAAAGGTGATACTGCCATGAACCGAAGCTTTCGAGCATCAAAGCGTTTTGGTGGATGAGTTTCGCAGCATGAAAACAGTGACAGATTAGTGGCAAGGGTTGCGGGGGAATCAGATCTTCAAAGGTTGCCTCTCCATGTGATGAGAGCCAAACAACGAGCTTCAAAGGTTGCCTCTCCATGTGATGAGAGCCAAACACCGAGCCAGGCAATTTCCAGCAACTAGAGCATGGCAAATCCACCGCAAGGATGACGATGGATGCCACATGCGCTCAAGAAGCAAAGCTACGTACCAATCCGAAGCTTTCACATGCTGCTGCGACGACTGCGGTTCCCCAAGCATGTGCAGGTGCGTCAGGCATGTTTGGCACCAGCACAGGTGTGAGGGCAGTCGGTCAAAGCAATCACGTTTACCCCCCCCCCCTCCAGCCCCCCGCTTACTTATTGACAGTGCCAAGAGGTTTGCCCTTGCCTGGAAGATTCGCCACTCTGAGCAGTGCAAACTGTTTGTGTCTGGCGGCAGCCACCTCAAAGTTGCCCAAACTGTCAGAGGATGTTAACATGTGGAGGGCCATGTGATCAGGTTGTGTTTTTGGAGGTTTGGTGGTTTTTGTGTGAGCGGCTTTTTGCCCTTTGTAGCTGTTGGCAGGTGTTTGCGGCTTTTGTGGAAAGCCAAAAGGCCCCCCGTTGCTTTCCAGGTGCGCCCTTGCGGGAGCGTGCAAGCTGTGCCCTGGCTCCGGTTCAGTTTCGATGGAAGGCATGTAAAAAAGAGTCTGGGGACCTCTGCAACAATCATTGGCTCCGCACAGATGTCCTTTGAAAGGGGGCAGCCAGGTCATCGCGTAGCTTTGACAAATATCCAAGTACGAGCTTGAGCTACCATTGCTTGTTTCTGAGTTGCTGGTACCCCTGCGTTGTTTTTAATGGTCACAAGCGGCACCAGTGAGTGTCTTTGGAGGCATTGCAGAACGGACCCTTGCATGTGCCTCCCTCAAATAGTGGCTTCCCTTTGATTTCCCTTCTAACCATGGCCACACAGGGTACCATCTAACCAAGAGACAACAGTGTAAGGTTGCGCTTTGGAGCGTGCTTAAGTTGCCTGCGCTGCCTCCTACCTCCTACTTGCGCATCAGAAGTTACACAGACATGGCGCCAGAACCCAAAGAGGGCGACGAATACTCCTTTCGTTTGGTGCACGGCCTTTAGACGTGCATGAGACACCATCAAGTTTCCTTCAGGAAATCAAGTGTGGATACCGGATTCCTAAGCCGAGGGCACCAAAATTGACCTTGCCTTATGTTTGGTGTGTCCTTTGCGTCGCACGTATGCGAAGGCCCATGATTTGCACATGATGCAAACCTCTGAATTTAGTGATACATTGACCAGCACAGGTCTTGGAACAAATGCGGTGCAATGGAAGCAGAGTACCTTGAATGCACAACACAAAATGTCCCAACCTGAGCAGTTAGGCAGACGGGCCATGCTAAGAAGTCACCGGCCAGACAGCCAAGGCGGAGGCGTTGAGAAAAAGGCCGGAGAGAGCGGTTGGTGCTTCAGAACCAGTGGAAGACGGGTAGCAAGCGGAATGCGCAGAATATTATTCGAGCACAACGGTGACATTTTAGCCTTGGTCCCTGTCAGCGAGTAGCAATCCATGCTGCACACTGCTAGACCGTGTGGCCATAGTTTCAATGCAGCGTGCGTTGCAGTTCGCTTGTTGATGGAAATAGAATCCCCAACGAAATGCATTGCACGCCTGCTGATCCAGAGGCACGTTGGGTTCGAGGGGACCTTGTTTGCGTAATGCCGCCTAATGTCATCATAGCCTTTCCCTGCAGAAGAGCTACATAATTATTTCAGCAGGTGTGTCAACCTGAAACTAAACACTTGGCGTTCCCGTGGCCTGCTTATCCAAAACTTGTTGAATGTCCTTGGCCGGCTGCAAGACAGAACGGCTGGAGTTTCAATGTTTGCTCTGCCCAGTATGGATACAGTCATCTGGCTCCACAACAGCTGGATGCAGGACCGATACATCGTTTCTATTCAGAGACGCTAGATACTTTGTGTTCAGCGGCGCCTTGACTATGACATGCTTCTGACACTCTGTGCACTGCAGAAGCAACCTACGTACCCCAAATAATTCCTGAAACTCCAGGCTCAACCTGAGCCACCCCTTGATAATCCTTTGGCCTGTAGGTTCATCCTACAGTTGCTTCTGTGAATTGGGTCCTGCGTTGTTTTCTGTTTGTGTTTCAAGCGGGAGATGGAACGAAAGGCGGAGCTTGTCACATGCATAGCCACCTTGTGCACTCAGAAATAGAGTTTCGACATGTGGGGGTTGATCAATATTCCTGGCCACAAAATGACCATGGGGAATTGTTCCCGTTTAATGGTGAAAGTTATCGTTTGGGAGTTGTCACCCATGTAAACTACCTTTTGATCCACCCCCATGTGGGGCTTTGGTCGAGGCCAATGATGGCCTTTGGCATCCTTGGCTTGGGCATGAGCGCAACCGCGGCGCTTTCGAAACTGGTGCTCTACTACCACCAGCCCAGTCTCGAGGAAGCGATAAGCCGTGGTTTTGTATTTGCGGTGCCCAGAAGGGGGCCCCCAGACTTGTCTCCTTGAAAGCCGTTTGATTTGTTAAGGGAGTGCCAGAATCGAATCCAGATGGGCTCTTCTTTGGGATGTATTTGGGCGGCAACTGGAGGGAAACCAAAACCAGTTGTTGGTATGCCCACTGGCCCCGGAGGAATGCCCCTATCATAGACACGGACAATGCACAGGGAAGGGCAGGGTTCTTTTTCGCTAGTAGCCCCTTGCTGGGGAGAGAGGCCAGTTTCGCGTTGGCCTTAGCATCCACACATTTGGAGCAGTGCGCAGGATCATCCGTCCTGGTGGGACGTTTGGACAGCGGAGCACCCTGCGGAGCCGTGGCTGAGAGGCTTGAATTGAGCATCGCTTTGGCTTGTGGCAAGGCTTGGCGTGGATAAGGCCGCATGCAACTGCACCCCACACGGCATCTAAGGACAAGGTCTTTAAGGCTGCGGATCTGGACGGCGATGGCCACGTTGATCGAATAGAGCTGTGGCATTACATGATGAGTCCTGGCATCCGATAAAGATGTTGGATGCCACGTCTACCAAGTTCCGGCTGGCAAGAAACTGCAAAGCCTCTTGAGGGACGAGTGAATGTGTGCGTGTGTGCGTGTGTGCGTGTGTGCGTGTGTGCGTGTGTGCGTGTGTGCGTGTGTGCGTGTGTGCGTGTGTGCGTGTGTGCGTGTGTGCGTGTGTGCGTGTGTGCGTGTGCGTGTGCGTGTGTGTGTGTGTGTGTGTGTGTGTGTGTGTGTGTGTGTGTGTGTGTGTGTGTGTGTGTGTGTGTGTGTGTGTGTGTGTGTGTGTGTGTGTGTGTGTGTGTGTGTGTGTGTGTGTGTGTGTGTGTGTGTGTGTGTGTGCGTGTGGTGCGTGGTGCGTGGGTGTGTGTGCGTGGGTGCGTGGGCGCGTGGGTGTACGTGGCGCGTGGCGTGCGTGTGGCGTGGAGTGGCGTGGGTGCGTGGGTGCGTGGCGGGCGCTGGGTGCGTGGCGTGCGTAGGTGCGTGGGTACGTAGGTGCGTGGCGCGGTGCTGTGCGTAAATGGTGGCGCGTGGCGGTGGCGGCGTGGCGCGCGGGCGGTCGGGCGCCGTGGCGTCGCGTAATGGCGTCGCATGCGCAGTCAGGCTGCGTGCGCGCCTGGGGCGCGTGCGGCAGCGTAAATGCGATAAATCACGGGCAAGTCGCGATACCATGCGAAGGCGTGCGTGCGGTCATGCGTCGCGATCGCCGTGCGTGGTGCGTGGCGTGCGTGATGTGCGTGCGATGCGTGCGTGCGTGGTGCGTGCGTGCGTGCGTGCGTGCGTGCGTGCGTGCGTGGTCGTGCGTGCGTGCGTGCGTGCGTGCGTGCGTGCGTGCGTGCGTGCGTGCGTGCGTGCGTGCGTGCGTGCGTGCGTGCGTGCGTGCGTGTCGTGCGTTGCGTGCACGTGCGTGCGTACGCGTGCGTGCGTGCGTGCTGTGCGTGCGTGCGTGGTGCGTGCGTGCGTGCGTGCGGGCGGGCGTGCGTGCGGCGTGCGTGCGTGCGTGCGTGCGTGCGTGCGTGCGTGCGTGGTGTGGTGTGTGTGTGTGTGTGTGTGTGTGTGTGTGTGTGTGTGTGTGTGTGTGTGTGTGTGTGTGTGTGTGTGTGTGTGTGTGTGTGTGTGTGTGTGTGTGTGTGTGTGTGTGTGTGTGTGTGTCGATTGTGTCCTCGTGTATTACAACTGTGTCATGAACTGAACCCATGTCATCCTGCAAGGTGCCGAAGCTTCAATATATTTCAGGGATGTTGCTGGGGGGCTGGCGAAAGAGGTTTCCTTCGATACATTCCAGCCCTAAGTGGCCACCCCGAAGTGCAACAAAGGAGCCGCGGCATCATGGACATGAGTGGATTCAACGCAATCTGGGCAGAGATTTCCCAGACGGAGTCGGAGTCCATCTCCCTCCAGGATTCGGCACGTGTGAAGTAGGGCTCCTTAAAAGATACATTTTGCCCATTTGAAACATGGCTTTTTCCGCCAAAATAAAGGGAAACCACCATTTACAAGGCAATGTTCAGGTGTATAATGTAAGGATCCCTGTTACTGTCTGAAGGTTATGTTACAGGTGGAGAGAGAGAGAGAGAGAGAGAGAGAGAGAGAGAGAGAGAGAGAGAGAGAGAGAGAGAAAGTGGGAGAGTGGGAGAGTGAGTGACTGAGTGACTGAGTGACTGAGTGACTGAGTGAGTGAGTGAGTGCGTGCGTGCCGGCGTGCCTGCGTGCCTGCGTGCGTGAGTGAGTGAGTGAGTGAGAGGCCTGCGTTCGCCATGCCCCATGCAAGGAGTTCCGCCACTTCCATGACAACGCAGAGCGCAACTTCTATCTGAGCCTTGGCTCAAGGCTGGTCCATGCCCATTTCTTTTGGATACCTTGTTTTAGCTATGCGAATTGCCCTTGCGTCGATTCTCTTGCCTCCTGGGCCCGTACTTCTTGCCTCAGGCATTCCAGCGTGAGACATGTTTAAAAGGAAGCGTTCGGGCAGTTGGCAATGTAATTGCCAGGCCAGTCATTGGGACGCCGGTTGTCTCCACCTTTCAGAGTGTACTGTCATGCATTTCACGTCGGCTTGCCTTCCCGGATTCCCTGTGCTTTCGTTACTTTCGGAGTGAGGCCCAGTGGCATGCGTTTGGCTTCTACCGAGGTGCCTTTGGCGGTCCCTGCTGGCTGACCCCACCTTCCTGGGCAGCGCGCTCTACTTGAGCGGCTCGGTGCTCTTCGCCACGATGCCCTACTGGTCCCTGGCCAGCAATGCCACCATGATGAAGATGGGTCAGGACGGGGGTTCCCAAAAAGGAATGAAGTTGAACCTGAAAAAGAGGGTATGTCTCAAGATTTGCATGGGGGGGTGTCTCAAAGCTACGGGACCCACAAACCTGTGCAGCTTACCTTTGGTTTGCTTTCAAAACCAACCAAAAGGAGGCCAAAACGACATAGCCGAAGATTCCTCCAAACCCTGGAGGCCCAACTGGCCCCAAACAAAAATAGAGAATGACTGAGGGGAGGACGAGCCAGTTTGACACAGATAGCCAAGGGGTGATTCCCGACAGGGCAACCATGAACCCTGGAAGGGAGTGGTCGAATGCTGCATGTTGTTTGTCCGGGAGCGAATTTCAGACACCTGGCAATCCCACAATGCATGGCATGCTTGTGATTGCAGGTCTTCTATATCTTTGGTGGCGTGCTTTTCTTGTCGCAGACGCTCGTAGCCTGACTGCAAGACTCAACATGTTCCGTGAAGCCATCCAAGTTTGTCATTACAAAAGGTTTCCTCAACATGGTCCTTCACAAGGCTGGGAAATTGTGATTCAAACAGCCAGACCGTAGTTCCTTTTCCTGGGCAGCCAAAACGAGAGTTGTAACATAATGTATGTCATATGGTGTAAACAGGGCTAAACAACCCTGTCCGGCCAGACACACCTCCATTTTGAACATTTGCTGGGTCTTTTTGGTTTTTCAAAGGAGGCCTTGCTAGATCCATCCCTTGATTCCGCCCTTTGCCAGCCTGGGACTGACCCAGGAAAGCCACTGTGATCGATTGAAGCTTCATCGCCGTTTGGCAGGCGTCATGGAACCTGAATCGTAAAATGCGCAATGAAATTTCCTGTTTGCAAGACGATCTTGTTTGAAGAATATAATATATTGTGTTCTTAATATATTGTATCTTTGTATCTATATAATATAGATATTGATAGGTATAATCAATTATAATATTATGGTCCCATTAATCTCATAAGATGTATTTGTTTATAGGAAATTATATATATTTATATGTATAGTTTTTATTTTTTGAATAAAGGGATAAAAAATAATTAAATTAATTTAGGATATATTTTTTATAAAATATAATATATATTTAATAATTCTAATATTTTATATGGTTTATGAAATTATATTTTGGGATTGTTTGGATTATTTCGGAGCTTGTTTGGATTGAGATGTTTTATTTGTTAGGGAAATTAAAAATATTGTGTTTGGAAATATTTAAAGAATTAGTATTTTAAAATTGAAATTAATTAAATATTTAGAATTTAATTAAATATTGGTTTTTGATAGAGCTTGAATTAAAATTATTGATTTAATTATGGAAAACAATTATTGTTTGTAATGGGTATATATTTTATTATATTGGAATGATTTTATTTAAATAGAGATGTGTAATGGTTGATATTGCACGAATCGTGGTAAGAAGATATATGATGGGACTTATTATTAGTTTGCTATAAGAAAAATATATAGGATTTTCATAAGTAATGTTGTATTTATTTGGTTTTTTGGGTTTTAAGACATTTATGAAAATAAAACGAATTTGGGGTAAAATTTTATAAGGGATATATAAATATTTTAATAGATCTTGAAAAAAATATATATATATATTGGGATTATTTTTTTGTTTCTTTTTGTTTGTTTTTTTTTATTGATTATTTTTTTAAGTTTTGGTTATATTTATTTTTGTTCTATTTGTTTTGTTTTGTTTTCGTTAAATAATTTGTTTTTTTTATTTGATATTTGATTCTATGGGATTCTTTTGGGGTTTGTTTGTTTTCTTGTTGCTTAATATTTTTAGTGTTGGTTATTAATTTCTTATGTTGTTTGTTTGTTGTAATTTATTTATATGTTTAATATTTATAAAAAAAATATGTTTATGAATATAATAATTATTTTCGAGATTTTTGATTTGGAATTTTTATTTAATTTGATCCTTAGGGATAATTATATTGGTCGGGTTTTAATAGAGATTTTCTTCTATATAATTCTTTATATTAATTAGATATATGGGATGATATTTTATATTCTTTTGTTTTTGTGTGATTAAATTGGATTGTTCTTTTTTTTTTATATTATTTTATTTCTTTCCATTTAATTATAGTTCTTGGAGTTTGTTTATAATTATTAATGTTTGTTTATGTTTGGGTTTGTTTGTTTTTTTTCTTTTTAGTTGTTGTTTTCTTTTTTTTTTTCTCTTTTTTTTCCCCCCCTTTTTCTCGCTCTATTTCTCCTTCTGTTTCTTGTTTCCAATCGTTCGGGATTGGTCTCTGTTTATCTTTGTTAATTGGTTTTTGTGAATTGTGTCTTTTTTCGTCGTTGTTAATGTTTTGTAATGTTATTGTTTTTTTTGTTTATTTATGGTTTGATTATTTATTTTTAATACTTTTATTTATTTTCCTATATATCTTTGATAATTATGCTAGACATTTTAAACAATTTGGCCCTTAACGATAACCGTGTTAGTCGGATTTTGATATAAATTTCTTTCTATATAATTCCCTAGATTATTCAATTATATGGGATGGTATTATGGCGATTGTAGCCTTAAATGGCCGTTGTATTGATGCGATTTAAAATAGATCTATTTAGCATTGAATTATTCCGAATTGCGTGCGGTTGCAAGTGGAGAATTCAATAAATCTTCGTTATTAATTATGTATTAGCTATATAAAAATTACATATTTCGCATTAACACACACCATAATCTTCCTTATAAAATCTATTTTATTCATTTTAATTTATAAATCGTTATTAAGAATAAATAAATATAATTATATATATTATTAAATTTTATATAAAGAAATAAATCAATCTAATAAAAATATCTATATATATAATTATTAAAAAACATAATTTAAAAAATAAAATAAACAAAATTATTTAAATATTATTTAAATAATTCTAAAATAATAAATAAATTATAAATATAATAATAATATGTTTATTTAAATCCAAAATAATAATATTTAATCTTTAAACAATAAATATACTAATTATATAACATATCAAAAAATAAATCAATTATATTCTCCAAATATATTATAACAAATAATAAATTATAAACCATTCATATTCCCCAAAATCGAATATATTCCTCTAAAAATCAAATAAATCAATCAAATTCTAATTGTTATCAAATGTTCATTTAATCCCATTTATATTATTTAAATATATATTTCATATATTTCAATATTCGGGCAAGTTAAGGCCGATTCTAGCCTTATTTCAAATTATACAACAAACAATTATATATAATTATTCCCACGATAACAATTTATATTTCAATATCAATAAATTCATTCAATTAAATATAATATTTATTTATAAAAAACAAAATATTATTTAAATATTTGGAAATAAATTAATATTGAAATTTGATTTTAAAAAATACATATATATTTGCAAAATATGGTGTTAATTGTTTTTCAAAACAATAATAATATAGTGGGCGTAATGAAATATTTTTTCGCCTAATGCCTTGAAGCCCTGAAGATGCGCGTCTTCGTGTCTTCGCGTCATTTCTACCCTGCTGACTCCCTGAAGCCCTGAAGCCCTGAAGCCCTGAAGATGCGTGCTCTGCTGACTTCCTGAAGCCCTGAGGCCCTGAAGACTTGAAGATTCGCGTCTTGGCGTCTTCACCTGACATCCGAAAGCGTGCAAGCCTTGACACCTTGACACCTTGAAGCCTTGAAGACCTGAAGATGCGTGTCTTCGTGTCTTCGTGTCTTCGTCTGACGCCCTGAAGATGCGTGTCTTCGTGTCTTCGGGCCAATTTTCGGTGTAACCCTCTGCGCCTTCAATGACAAATATTGAGCAACGACCTGCTAGCATCCACTAGGGGTATCGCGCAGCCCACTGTGCCCCCTCACTTAACCTCTCTTGAGGCTGTGGATCAAGAATCAAGAATCGAGAATTGATTGAATCATAAATGTCCTCTTTTTTTTGAAAGAAAACAATATGTTCTCAGAGTTGCCGATGGGCTGCCGAGGTGCTGGGGATGCAAACGATGCCGCTCACGCCAGTGCAGCTAGTCTGAAACGAAGCCCTTGAACAACAGGTTAAGAAAGTCCAACAATGTCTCTTTCATTTATCGTGCCATGAAATATTGATGAATACATTATGTATATGGCCGATCGATGAGCTATGGTAATCGCTGGTAAGGCTGCTTTGGCGCTACAGCATACCTCAGATCCAGTGGGTTGCATCTCTCAAGGGTCTCATTGAGTCATAGTCAAGGGGGTGCGGTGAAGAAGCACGGGGAAAGGGTTTGCCCCGTCAAAGGCAATGGTTCATTTGCACCCTCTCTCAACCTGAGTGAAGGACACTTTACACTTAGAGAGTCACACAACTCCTCGAGCACGGGCCTCACAAACACTGTCAAGTGCATCCGAGTGACCACGCGTTCGATAAACCCAGCTGGATAGTGGACGGCAGTGTTCTAGCCAGCTTGCCTTGGTGTGGAATTGACCCCTTCGCGTTTTTTCCAACTAGCAACTGAATCGCTTCGGAACTAAAGGGAAGTAGACAAAATGTCACAAAGAAGTTCAGCCCAATTCTTGACTTGCATACCTGGCAGTGCTCAATAGTGGGAAGCAGCAATTCTACGAATAGCTGTCGACTTGAGCTGCAGGAGCAGCTAGTCGGGACCAAAAGTTGATCGAACCAACTGCTTATGGACTTGCTTCTTCCCTGCGCGAACCAGGAGGATTTGAAAAAGCAACGAATCGACCAAACTCCTTGCGCCCAAAAAGTGAGCACACATCGCTCGCATCTGATCGCTGAGGCTATCGCTGAACCACCCCTCCTTCTTGCCATCCTCCACAAGCAACGTCTGAATGGACCGCCTCACGTTGCCCGTCGCGCCCGCAAGCCCGTCTGCCCTGCGCAAAAGGCTGGCCTGGGAGACTCCAACACCACTGCCCTGGTCTCACCTGAATGGCGCACCTGGCGCGGTTTTTGGCTGCTTGAGCGTTCATTTCAACTGCTACTCGCAGGGGGACAGAGAACACTTCCAAGAACCCCGGGAAACGAGGAATGACTTCACTAGACAGCTCTATGATTCTGCTTGCTATAGCCTTAACTTCGCCAGATCATGCTGAAAAACAGGGGGGTGATGCTTATAGCTAAACGATGCTGAACACTTGCTGAACAGGCCTTCAACCAGAAGCCAATGCTCTCCTCGCTTTGGTTCAGCACCTCACCAGCCAGCTAACTACACCCCTGCGGTCTTACGCCTGAGGCAAGCACCACCACCACGAGACCGCCGTCGGGGTTGGCAAAGGCCGTGACCTGCCATGCAAAGCGAATACATGCTTGAACTGCTACACGAAACGTGTTCATGGACAGGGTGAGAAACAGCGCACCTCCAGCGCGTCCCTTGTTGTGCTGCATAGCACACGCCGCGCTCCAGGCCTGCCCCCAAACCATTCAGAGTTGAGTTGCACGTTCTCTCCAACTTGCTGGCACGTGGGCCATGGGCTGACTTCAAACACACCTGATGGTCAAGCCTGATGTAGCGGGAGAAGTGCCTGGGCACATCGCAAGCCAGCTAGAGTTTCCGCGTGGAAAGCAGCCTGTTTGCAGAAGGGGCCTTTACTTTGGTACTGAGGAACAAGATCAACCAGTTCTCCCAACAAAGGAAAAAAGCAGCCCCGCTTTTCCTGGTACCTAGGCACATCGAATTTGCTCCATGCCAAGCGGCCCCAGATGCCAGAAGGAAGGCTGGTAGAGCACCTTGTCCGTCCGCGTGTCGCAGATCACCGGTGCCACGCAGGTGTTGCCCACCTTGATTACCCTAACGGGGGGTCTAATTTAATTTTGATAGTTTTCCCCAACAAAGGGAAAATGAAACCATCTCGGCAGTTTTCAGGGTTCGCCCCCCCCCCCCCCCCTCCACCCAATTTTTGGAGGCGGAAACCCACCTTGGTACAAACGCCCGGTGGCTCCCGCTCTCCGCCACTTTCAGAGGCTGGCGTGGTTTGGACCGCCTTCCTCGTCCAAGCACAAGTTCCAATCCTTGGCTTAGCTTGGACGTCGAGGACGGTAGCTCAAAGCCGTGCAAACAGTGCAAACATCTTAGATCTGACAATGCAGCTGGGCGCGCGGCGATCCAACCCTCACCTTGGTTCTGTCTCCCAAGGCGACATCGATGCCGGGCCCTTGGTTTGAGGCTCCGACATCCAGCATTGACATCGGCAATGATATTCATGGAGTAGCGCTCTCCTAACTTCCAGTCCTTGGCATCGCAACACCTTGCCCAGCACCCGGCTGCCCCTTCAATTTCACAGCCCGAGACTTGATCCAACTGCAACCTTGGAAGCCGCACTCCCATGACAGATGACAGGGGGCGGCCACCCAGCTCTTGGCAACCTCAGCCAAACTCGAAACCACGTGCGTTTGCCTTGGGAGCCCCCCTACCTTCGGTGAAGAGGATGTGCTTGTCTGGCCGTAAGTCGGCCAGCTGCCTTCAACATCCGACACTGCCGGCAAGTTGCAAAAAACCAAGCATGCACCTGCGATTGGCGACACTGTGGTTCACATCGTTGGTCGAACGAGGGGGCAATACTTTGAAACCACATCAACAGCTCTTCCTTGCCCCTGGTTTGGACTATGGCAAAAGGCAAGCAGGCGGCCACCCAAAGCGACCCAACGACCATCGCTGATGGCGCCTCACGTTCTCGAAGCCTGCGCAGCCTCGGAGCTCTGGCACCGTGCCTGGCGTAGCTTAGCTGGGGCCAAATCTGCGTCTGCGTCTGCGTTTGTGTCTGCGTGTTTGTGCGTGTGTCTGTGTTTGCGAGATTTCCGGCTCCCATTTTTTTGGTTTGCAGGGGGTAGCTCTTTGCACTGGGGCCGGGCCCACGCACGGCACTGTCCACACACACACACACACGAAACGCTCGGCTTCAGCTTCCCGCACCTCCTTGCTGGCGGTCCGCAAAGGGCACCTGAAAGCAGCTCAATGAGAGACTTGCAAACGCCGCGGAATTCTTGAAAACTGGCAGGCGAAAGCACCTCTGTGCGCGGCGGCCAGGTTTCGAAGCGTGGGTCACCTAAGCCCGGCTGCGTGCTGCGCCGGGCTCCCGTGCCGCTACCAAAAGGCACTGGAAACCACCCATTTGGAGGGGCATGATCTCAGTGCAGAATCTCTCCGGAAAGTTAGCGCTCCGTGTGGGGAGGTGTCCCTTGGCACTTTTCGGGTGACGTTTGCCATGACATTGCACGCAGGTGCGCCATTAGGCATATTATGACAAGCACATGGCCCTAGGCCGGGCGCATTGCCCCAGGTAACTTTGAGCATTGGCTACTGTCAGCTCACGTCAAACAACTCCAAGAAAACCAATGCCATCAAGCCACCATACCAATGATATGCAACACCCCAAACCAGATCTGCCGCGATGGAATCGTCGTAGATGACCTCAACCCATCACTGAAGCAGTCAGCCCGTGCCGGTGCCAGTCAGCCTAAATACATACACACATAATACATATACATACAATGTAATTTCATGTATACATGTGTGTGTAGTATACAGCAAGATGAATATGCAATGTTACATAAACAAGGTTTGCACGATGCAAAACGGGCCAGATTTTCAATTCGGGGCTACGTGGTCGAAGGAATCCAGATTCAGCACGCACACTTGACACCCAAGGCAGCTGCAGAAGCTCTTTCCAGCATCCCATCGCGGTTGTGGTCCCAGACCAGTATCTTCACATCCTCAACGTAGGCACGCAAGCCGAAGCAGTTCAACACACGCTTGCTAGCAGCAAGGCTGAGCACGCAGAAAGACTTCTGAAGCAGCAAATGTAGAATCTTTTCACAAGGCATCCCATGCCCCAAAGCCAATGTGAACCGCAAAAAACTGCCGCGCTGAAAGGGGACGCTTTCACTTATTGGTCACCTCAGTGAAGGTGTTCCCCCTTCGCAAAGGAATTCCTGGTCACCTTTGGCTCAAAGGCAATGGCCCTCCGAAGCTTCAGCAGAACTGTGCGCCTCGTGGTGCCTGCGGAGGGCTGGACCTCGGAGCGTCTGGTGAGATGCGCCAAGCGAAAGTCCCTTCTGAGCAGGGCTTGTCGTCGGCAGGGGGTGCTATCCAGTTGGTCCATTGGTCCTATTGGTCCATCTGCTAGTTGGTCCAGCCTCTGGAACGACGTGGAAACGTGAAAGAATCTAATCTTGGACCTCAACCCAACCCATGGTGTCCTTGAACCCAGTTGCCCCCGTAGTGGAACCCACCCAGTTGAACCCAGCTGGACCAACCAACTGTCTATGGCTCTGGAGTTGATCCAATTGGTCCTGTTGTTCGAGTAGGTCCGGTTTGCTCAAACTGAGGCCCCAGCCGAGGTGATCCCTGACGAAGATTAACTCCTCTTCCGCGCTGTAAATGCATGACCTTGCACACATTCCAAAGCTTCCCGCACCCTATCGCACAAGCTCCTACAAAAAGGCTGCTGCCATCCACGGCCAAAATACGCTGAAACTCGCGCAAGCCCTCGCTGCCACAGACCGCCGCGGCTTTTCCTCTCGATCTCGCAGAGCTGCCTCGCATCGTCAGCGCCCAGGCACGAGCCGCCAACGTCCTGCCAGGGGAGCTGCGAGGAAAAGCACACGAAGGCCCTGAACCCATCAAGCCAGCCATGTCAAGTCCGAGAGGATGAAGCGGTCCATGGTTAAAAGCTTTTGGCACAAGCCGTGCCGTGCAAGGTATGCAGACAGCCCTTCCTGGCAGCCAGCCAGCACAGCCAGAAGATCTGATGGCAGTGGAGCCCTGGCACGGCTCTGCGAAGCAACAAAATCAGTTTGGGAGCAGAACCCCAGCACGCTAAACAAGGCCGAAGGCGCCTGTGATGAAATAAGTCTCGGAAATTTGCGGGTACTCAAGCTTCTTCTCCGAAGGCCGAACCCCTTCAAATGCTTCGGCGTAGCCCACGGTTTCAAACCACCTCCGTTCCCCAACAGAAAGCAAGAACATATCTCAAACCGAGGTGGATCTTCAAATGTGTGATTTCCCCTGGGTTTGATGTTGGCGCGACTCCAGTCTCATGGTGTTGCCTGAAGTCATGACGCCGGCCCTCTAAGTCCAGGAGGCACATCTGCTGGCAGTGGAGCCAAAGGCGTGGGCACCAAGCCTGAGGCATGAATTCTAATTGCGGCCCTCTGTCCCTCCCTAGCGCTTTTCCATCTCTAGTGCCGTCTGGCAGTTCGTTTCTTGTGGTGAACATCATGTGCTACCCATGAGCCGGTTCCTGGAAGTATTCCCCACTGAAATTCACCTCCCGCTCAAGCCAGCCGGGCCAAGAGCGATGCATCACACGTCCGGCCGTGGGGCGAAGTGTCGCCGGGCTTGGCCCCGGGGGTTGTAGTTGGCATCGCTCACAAGAGGGTGACCTGGCGAATTCGAAACCCCTGGGCAAACACGCACGCTCCGAGGTCCTGTCACACATCTCGGCCCGGCCTTTGAACTCCATGTGTGCTCGGATTTGATGTGTGCGTCCGGTGCGGGGATAGCATGCAAGCAAGCTGTACTCCTGAGCATGCTGTCAAGCAATCAAGTATCCAGAAAGAGCGTGGAAGTCGACTTGGGTGGTCCCATGCCAAGCAAAGAGCTCAAGATGCGCCAATACCACCTGCCTCACCGGGACAATGTTGCCGGACCTCAACGCAAAGGCAAAGAAGCAGAGAAGCAAGGCACGGGCGAGCTCGCTGTCAGCCAAGCGGCATATCTCTCCAAAGGCTGGGACAACTCGTCGGAGGGTGCCACACAAACCGCCTGTAAGCGAGGCGACAGCGGCATCACCGCGTCTTGCCGCACTTCTAAGTTGGCGCAACCAGGTCCAAGGTTCAAATAGCATTGCCTTGCCATATGGTCTTCTCGCCTGGCGTCGCAGCTTGGCCAACACCTCATAGCCCGTGGTAGACGGCTTGCCCTTGGGCGACACATACGCCTTAGGGGCCGTGAAGTGAAGCCGTCCATTCAAGCAGTGGGCTGAAAATCGCTACCCTCATGCTTCTTGTGAGCTGGGTATGGCAGGTTTGATTGAGATCATTCTCTAGGTGTGAGATCATTTGGCTGGTCAAGTAGTCTCGAGTTCTCTTTTACGTTATTTTATGTTGATCAGGTTCTGAGTGCAATGTCATCAACTCTCTTCGAAGGCAGGCCACGCGGTACTTCTCCGAAAAACCCGAGATGTAGAGCTTGGCATCGACCTCGCCTAACACAAGAAGCCAAAGATCTGTCGCATGGCAAAATCGTCGCCCGTTGATTCGCATGTAAAAACTGCAAGGGATGGCTGCAAGTGTTTCGACAGCTTCACTCCGCCCCAAACCCTGTTGGCACTCGCTCCTCTCAGCGGTTCGATGCTTCCAGTACAGAGCGCCAAATAGCGCTTGAAGACCTGGTGCTCCTTGCGTGCATGAAATGTCTATGCTTGCCTTGGCCACATTAGGTGACAAATCTGACATCCCAACAGAGGCCCCCCAGCATACTTGTAAGATGACTCCTGAGCAGCTGCTGACTGAAGAAGGCAGTCGAACAAATCAGACCGATCAACGGCGGTCTGCTCTGAGAGTGGACCGTTGATGCGTAGTCCAGCTGTCAACATACAACAGCCAACAGCGCTGTGGTTTGCATGCTGACAAACTCATGCCATTTACCTGCATGCCTCTTTTAAGTTGCCAGTGAATTGATTGCTGCGGCCATCTGCACTAGTCCATGAACTTCACCCGTAGCCGCAGACTTCAAAACCTCCTTTGGGCCCTGCAAGCTCGACGCTTCCGTCCAAAAGGCTCCTTGAACTGCTGGGTGAGACACTCGGCGCCCTCTTGGCTGGTGGCGGCCACCAGCAGCCCCGAGGTGTCTTTGTCCAGGCGGCTCACTGAGATGACCTGCCTCCCGATGACGCGGCCGACTGCCACCACAGCCGTCCCTTGTACGGATTGTGAAGGGATGGGGCCTGTTCTGCGTCGAGTGGCCGTGAAAGCGAGGAATGAAAGAAACCTAGACAGCCAGAATCAAAAGCCTAACCCACCTACCCCCCTGCTCCCCCAGAATCCTACACATGGCTTCTGCTGATGGGCAAAGAAAAGCTGCAATGCAAAATTGTTCTGGTGCAGCAGTGGCCGATCCATACTGTGGTTATAGGCAAGGGCGCACTGAACGTGCACGAAAAACAATGGTGACCCTTTATTTGACAAACTCACATGGTGGCGCCTTGAGGTCTTGAACTCTGTTGCCGCTGCTGCCATGCACTGAATCCGTCAAGTGGAGCAAAACCACGCCGACACCCGGGAAAGACTCATGATGACTCACAGGAAAGGTTATTTTCCCGGAAGCCCTGGATCTGAGTCTGGCCTGTCCAGGCCACGCTGCTGGAAGTGGGCCTGCAAGGCCGCCAGTTCTGCCTGGCAAACTCTGGCACCCAAACTTCGACAGACAGCAACCAACCTGGCTGAATGGTTGCTTGGTTGCGTAGTTGCTTGGAGAAGAGATTCGCGAACAAGTTTCTCGAGACGCTGAAGTTCATCGAAGAGTAGTTGTGAAAGGCACCCGAGATCAGGAAGAAGAAACGTTCCATCACTTCAAACAAGGCAGCCAACAACGGGAAATCCTGTAGCCGGCCCAACAAACAGAGGTGGGAAGAAGCCACGCCCAGAAAGGCATATAAAAGCGCTAATCGCCGCACGAGTGAGCATCAGTCATTATCAATTATGAAGCGAACTGGTGCGGGTAGAGTGTCGGGCATTTTTGCTGGCAAGGAATTTCGTAGCCAGCCAGCCAGCCAAAGCCAACCAACGACAACCAAAGACCACACCAGACCTGACATGAAGCAGCAAGAAAAAAATCCTCACTACACCTTCTCGGGAAACAGGACATTGCATGCCTCCAGGACGAACGGTACACAAACCGTTTGGGCACAAGCATTGCCTCGGTTGCATTGAATGCCGCACTGCACAAGAGTGCAAGTGCGGGCGGCCACTCACATTTGTCACGTCACAACGTTAACCTCATTCAACTGAAGGGGAGGCGGCAGCAAGGCAGCAGCCTCTTCGTGCTGACGGTAAGATGGCTGTGGCTTGCTGACATGTTGCCGGGATGGGGCGCTGACTACAGACCCATCCAGGAAAGCAAGCCGCAACAAATATTTGGACACACCCGGAAGCACTATGTAAAATTTGCAGTTCCCATGCTGACGGCCTTGAGACATGCGGATGCTTGCCCAGAGGTCCCACTTGGTGCCTGTCATTGGTGACCAAGCGCTGAACCACTACCATTCTACACAACACTGACCGCTTCTATGGCTAGTCTACCCATCTACTGCCATGTTTCTTAGATGTTCTTTGGAGCGGTGGAGTTAAAGCCAAAGCAACTTGGCCATCGCCGTGTGTTGGCTTCCTACCCCGCGGGCACAAGCAGGCACACTTGGGATCGTGCTAACGTTTGACGCAACACATCAAAACACATCTAGAGACATTTGAACAAAGGCAAAGTGAGTCTGAATTGCAAGCTTGTATCGCTGCCTCTCGGAATATGTCGGGTCCCACAGGCCCGAATGTTCAGAATCGTGCTGGTGTACACAGGACCGCCAGCGCTACTTAAACATCCGGCGACAAGGCCCCACGACGCAAACTCGGTGACCTCAAATAGCTTGGAAGGTAGTTTGAACCGCTCACATCAGAAGGAGGAGAAGAGTCATGAAATCGGCGAGGGCCCGGAGTTTTTGGCGTTGCCGAAAGGAGCTTGTCACCACCATCGCAGGCGAGTCCACCAGCAAGGGAGGTTCCATCACCCTGGCCTGTTCCAACTCAGACAGACGCATCCGGTGAGCACGCCGGTGCGCCATTTTGAGCCACAGCGTAGACCTGTGGTATAGGTGCATGGCTGGATGGCAGCATGCAGTGGCACAAACAGAACTTTTCTCAGCACCAAGGAAGGGAAACTATGCCCTCTCAACTTTATCCTTTCCTGCCAATAAACAATGCTATATCCTCGTAAGGACACTCTTCCAGGGTGATGAATTCTCGTTGACCTTCGGTCAAATGAACCGGCTGGGGCGCGAAAATGCCCGACCTCCAAGAATGTCCTAACGAAACCTCCCAGCCTCTGAGGTCACCCCTGGCCGCTTCAGCACCACGGCCAGGCCCGGTGCCTCTCCTTGCGCCAGACCCCCTTCCCATGGTGGTTTCAGCTGGCGGAGGTGGTACCTCCTTCAGGTTGCTTTGAAGGGAAAGGACTTGGGGCACTGGACTTTCATCACAAGTGGGTCCTGGAAGCAACGCCACAGGAAATGAAAACTCCACCTGCACCTCTGTGTAAAATGAAAATTGTTGTGTCGGCTCTTGCCACATGCAGGTTTAGACCTCAGCAAGGAGAGAGACAGCAGCCCAACAGCGATGTTTGACTCATAGGGGCTTTGCAGAGGCGGGGCCCGCAGCACGGCGAACAGAATTGAGGAGAGCCCAAGGGAGTGCGGCATGTTCAGGATAAGATGTTGCTTTCGCGCCAAGGAACCTTGGAAAACTATGTCTTTTGGATGGTGGGCGTGGGGCCTGACAAGCATGTATTGCGCCTCCTTCATCTTGCAATTGACTCAACACCAGAATCAGCCGAATTGAAGTTGGACGACGGTGGAAAAGGTGACTGGGCTACAAGGCCGCACAACTTGTTGTTTGCACGGGTGCGCAATCTGGATGCTTGCATCCACTAGTCAGCCTGGAGACAACAGGCGGCGCGATCTCTTCACCCAGAACTTGCAAGGCGACAAGACATTGCCGGCCACATCACATGAAGCCGAACCAGTACATGAACGTTCGTGGTAGCCAAAGCAGGACATTTGGCCTACAGGTTGCTTGAAACAAGGGCTTAGTTTGTGGGACAAGCAGGGCAAAAATCTGGTTAGCTGCGGGTTAGGGTGGAAATTGGGGTTCATTGTGCGCTTAGTGGGGGCTCACTGGGATTGTGGTGTGGGGAGGGAGGACAGCATTCACATCAGTGGGGGAGGGAGTGCACCATTCACATCAGCTTGGACAGGTAGTGTCACACCAGGAAAAAATATTCAAGCAGAAGCCAGAACAGCTGCTGGGGCAGCTTCTGCAGACGTCTTTGCTGTGCCTGACTGGGTTAAGTCTAAAGCCCAGGTCGATTTATTTGTTGTGGCCCTTTCCATGAAACCAAAGTGTGACTACGGTATCACTCAAAGGGATTGTCGTGGCATCGCAGCAAGTGGCTCTGCAAAAGCCGATGGCCTCCCGAGCGGCCAAGCAGCCGAGCACGTCTGTCGTGGCTGGCGCGGACTGGCGCCGCCCAACCTGGGGCCTGACAGCAGGCGCCGAAGTCGGCATAGGAATTGGCACCCGAAGCGACACCAGCAGCGCGCAGCCCGTCCTCAGGCTCAAAATAGGTCAACACGGAGTCAACACGGCCAAGCCGAAGAAAGCAAGGGGCAAGCCGGGTAAGCCGGGTAAGCCGACCTCATGTCCTTTGGGCCCCTTCAGGCGAAGGCAACTCCAGCCTGAGGCTCCAGTTCGTGGGTTCACTCGCTTCGACACACTTGAAGGATGAGCGTGAGGGCCTTCACAACCCGCTATGGAACAGCTGAGGAATCACAGCATCAAACATCATGTTGAAGCAAGCGTCATCAAACCATTTCATGAAAATAGTTCCATCTCATGGAGCTCCATCTGACTCCGCAACTACCAGCCTCAACCCAACAAAATCGCACCGCACACCAACCCTTCAAACTCCGAAAGCGGGAGCTCCGAGAGGAACCGCCAACCAGGTTTAACTGCAATGCTTCTAGGCCTTAGTGCGGATTGCCCTCAAGCCCTCTACACTGTCGCTGCGTGTGCGCGTGTGGGCGGTGTGGGCAGGCGTGCGGTGTGGGCAGGCGTGCGGGCAAGTTGGCAGGTGGGTTCCTCAAAACTCAAACTGCAACGACCTTGGGCAAGGGTCTCCAGGCGCATCTTCGCCTGCGCCGCCTTGCGGCCCAAGAACTGCAGCAGCTGCTGCCCCTGCAGTGCCTGGCGGGGGGGGGGCCTCTCCCATCCTGGAAATGTCCAAGAAAAACCTCGGAGACATCCACCCAGCGCTATCCACTTGTTACACTAATGAGGGGTTTACATTCGTATCGAAGATTTGGGGCACCATGTCGCACCATAGCACCATGCTAAGTCAGGGCTTTGGCACAGCGCTCGATGGCCAGTCCCTCTTGCCTCCTTGAGCTCTCGATCGCGGCCCAAACGCACCAGCGGCACCTGCAATGGGAGTCTAGCTGCCCCACACCTTGCCACCTTGGGTTCACCCAAGCACGTTACAAGGAGTCCACGCAGAGTGGCCGCCAAAGGTAGAGACCAACAGCAGCCCAACCGAACACCTCGAAGGCCCCGGCCTTGTGGCTGCCAGTGTTGTAGCTCATCTGTTGAACTTTCTGGGCCACGAGGGCAGCCAGTGCCTGTTGGGCAGATGGAGGGCCTCCCAACTTCTGCTCGAATGAGCGGGGAAACATTGACACCAGTAGTGTCCTTCAACCGGGGGGTCTGCTTGCAGGCCTGCCACTTGACAGCGCTTGCATTTCAAGCTCACCTTCACTGCAAGCAATTTCTCACGCGCACCCAGCCGGCTCGGCCATGTGCGGGATTTGTGTCCAGAGTTTCGGCAAACTAGATCCAGACTTGACTGACACACTGCCCGACAGCAAAGGAGCATGTCTCGGCGCTGCACAAGTGCGGCGAGTGACCACGCGTGAACGTATTACCTCAGCATGCTTCAGCGCGGTCCCACCCTCATGCTACCTCGCCTCATCGCCTTCGTCAGCTTCTTCCTGTGCTCCTGCGCGCCACTCTGCGTTTGCCACTTGCTTCACAAAGCACCCGAGCTGGCTCAAACCGCTCCTGGCAGTAGTGACACCCGAAACTGGCAAGAGCAGCCATCATCATTGTAGGCACAAGTCGTGTCAGGTCCTTGGGGTGCAAATCAAACACGGGGGCAAGCACGTGAGGCGCACACAAGCACAAACACAAAACAGAGACGAGCAAAGTGCTGTTTGGCGCGATCGCGACCCTTGCCGAGTGTCGTCGGCCCCTTTCCAGGCGAAACTGTTCGGGCCTGTCGCCCAGGAACTGCAGCAAGTAACCAGCATAGGTCCTTGCCTGCGCTGTGCCCGGACATCCAGTGCCGGCCTGCATCTCTGTCTCAGTTCTGACCAGCAGCTCAGTCACGGGGTGGAATTGCACCACCGCGCCCACCTTGCGCCGGACCTTCCCGTTGTACAACAGCCAGCCCACCTGCGCCACAGGGTCTCATGCATAGCTCTCTGAACAATCCTTGGAGGCCACACCTGTAAGTCCTCAATTGTCTTGATTGTGATGAGCTTGCATTTTGGGCAATGTCCAACTATGAGCATGCAAGCCAGCTCAGTAGCAAAAGACATTGCCCCTGATAGGTCGGTGCACCAGCTGGGTCAGTCAGCGGGTGGGACCTCCCCCCTTCGACTTCCCTCTGAGATGGCTCCCTCCTTCCTAAAATTTGGCGCCTTATCCACAGAAGGTAATAATTGGCTCCAGCGGAAAAGTGCTGACGCCCTGGACGTTCGGGCATCCCCGCCTGCACGGAAGTTGCCCCTTCTAGGCGCAGCAGGAGCTCTCGCTCCAGCTGCCGCAGCGCATGCACCGCCCGCTCGCAGATGTGCCGCCCCGGCCGCGTGGCCCCCGGTGCTGAGCCCACCCGAAGGGCCGTGACGGGCTGGGCGGGCGCCGCGGCGCAAAGCAGGTGGCCTGATGGGAGACTGGAGGCCTTCAAGGCACCAAACCGGGACGTTGGAATTCAGGGAGGTGGTACCTGACTACCTGATGGTGTCCCAAGAAAGGCTTTCTTTAAGCACCTGCCACACGATGCATGGTGTCTAATCCAAGACTTTGTAAAACGCGCCAGAAACTGCCTCCATGGTGGTCCCTCACCTCCAGCAGCTCTGGGAACCTCCTCAAAAATTGCAGCAGCTTCTCGTCCCCCAGGCGCTTCCGCAGGTCCGGGCGCAGTGCGGGGACGAAGTTCGCTTTCAGCTGCCCCCCGTGCCGCCCCACCTCCTCCGCCAAGGCCCGCGCCAAGGCCAGGTCCGAGCCGGCATCGGCGTCGGTCATCCCGCTCTGCATGTCCCAATCCGACACGTGCGATTTTCTTGCAGCCGAATTTTGGCAGTCGCGGAGCTTGGCTGGGTAAAATTGTAGCGCTCATGGCCCGAAGGCCTTGTGGTTGGAAGTCTGCAAAGCTTTTCTTGGCGGTGTTCACGGTACATTTTGGGATGTCCCGACTTCCATGAGTTTTAGAAGGTCGTAGCTTCAGATTGGGCAGCTGGCCTATGGAGCAGGGCTGCCGAGTGCTCATGATTCCAATGATGGCACTGCGGATGGCAAAGATACTTTGGTGAGAGGGCCATGCATCATGTGGCACATGTCCGATGCTGCTCTGTGGATGGCTGCAGCATCGCATTCAAGTCGATCAATTGACCTTCTAGGTTTCTAGCATCATGCTGCCTCAAAAGCTGGTGCAATGCGCATTTCTAGGATTAGTTCCCCATTCTTTGCAGGCATCATCTATTCCCCGAGTCTTGCCAGACCAATTGTTTGGTAAAAACTACTGGCGGCAACCTCGAAATCTATTCTGCTCTGTAGTTTGTTCACTCAGCTTGACAAAGACTTCCCACTTAGCAAACCAAATGAAAATAGATTCATCTGCTCCGGTCCCTTGATGTCCCCGGCTCCCAGCACTGCGCAGCTTCCGGCTCGTTTTGCACCGAGACCTCGGAGCGCTAAGAGCAGACTTGTCTTTGGGTCACCAAACGCCCGTCATCCAGAGTTCTTGTAATGAAAATGCCTCCCCAAGCCTTGAACCCTTGGCAAGCAATGTGCATCGCAGGTGCTCCCCAGATGGGCACGCCGGCTTTTTCCATCTCCTGGCAAAGCTCCGATCCAACAAGCGGAGCGGTGGCCGCACGACCGACACCTTGGTGCAGCAACGTAGCCCGGACTTCCCGGACTTCGGGGCACGCCTCCACGAAGCGGACGAAATGCCGCGCCCAGGCCTCCCGGCCTTGGTGGCACCCTGCCCCCAACGCGGAAAACATGGCCCTCAGGACTCTCAGGTCGCTTTTGCGTAACAAAGCAAGAGGACCCCACCTCCAAGTCTTCAAGTGGCCTTAATCCCACTTGGCCCTGAAAGACTAGCCCAGTTCCCACAAACCAGCTTGAGGTCGCTAGAACCTCCCAGTGACAAGTCAGCCGACGCGTAAGCGCCCCGCACTCTGGCCGCAAATGACCTGGACAACAATTCGGCCGGTACAGGGCTCGATTTCCTCCGGAATCCTCAATGCCAAAAGGATCGCAACAGCCTGCATTTGTTCAGTGTTCTCCCCCTTTGTGCCGCAGGCCCTGGGTTGCCTTAGCAGGGAAGGCTTCGGATCCCCAGCATCATCGAGGTCGGCCTTGAACGGCAGTAGCAATGAGTTCTGTCCCATTCGGCTGGGGGGTTGGCAGTTGTGGCTCGGTTTTGTGTCTGCTGGCCACAGTTGCTCACAGCTCACAACCATCCCTTGCACAATTGTTGCAGTGATTCTAGAGGGTCTCACTGCACTTGTTTAAAACTTGTCCTGTGCTTTCCTAGTTCTAAGACGGGAAAGCAAAGCATCCCCAGCTTTGGCCTCTGACAAAGCACCCGGCATGTTCCGAAACATCTTCAACTTTGGTTGCCTTCTCTTTGCGGTCAAGTCAGGCGTTTACGTGCGGGAGAACTTGGCATCAGAGCCTTTGTAGAGCGTAGTCTTGTTTTTGTTGCGGGCTTTTTGAGGTGTTGTTCCTGACATTAGCGCACCTCCTCCCTTGCACAATGCTGTCTTACGATGAGGGTGGCAGCCCTTTTTCGTGCAGATTGCTAACCAAAGCCGAGCACGAGCCTTCCCCATTGAAGGTGGGCCGCGTCTTCATCCAGGGGGGCGGGCTCCAGGGGCTGGCCTTGTTGGGTGCGGCAGACTTCAGCCCTCGCACGTGCGCATTGCAAGCCAAAGCGTCGTGTTCCTGCTGTGCGCTCTACACAGCTCTTCTCACTATGAACCCGAAGACTCACGGGGCTGGGGCTTGAATCCGTCCCAAGCCGCAAAATCGAATGACTGGACCAGGCCAGGGATCCTTTACGCTTCCTCAGCATCGAACATAAGGCACCCATCCAGGTGACAGGAAGCCCGCTGTTAGCTGTGCCTCTTTCAGCCACCATCCATGTCCCGGCCTCAGGCGCGGGCCAGCAGCGTCAGAGGGGCCTTGCGTGCCCGTGCGGCACCGCGGAGCATGGGCAGGATCGCCTCCTGGCCGCCAGTGGGGGCGCATTCTCTCAACGGAAAATCTGGTGAGGAGCCTCGTACTTGCATGGAATGGGGTTACTTCTTGTGTCGTCCAGGCTCTGGCCTCGTAGCGCTTCAAGCTAAAGCCTTTCAGGTCCATATCTCCTGGCATACAATGTTGATTTCCAGCTTTCAAGAATCAGCGCACTCCCAAATTGTTCGTCCTTCTGGCAAGTCTCCGCATGTCCAGTTGTAAAGGGAGAAGTCGCAGGAGCCGATCGGCACACGTCCTTATTGGAAGCCCGAGGTACATCTCAGATTTGGGGTGCCTTACACACAATATCGGAGCCAAACTGAGCGCTACCTGACTCACTCGCGAGCTGAGCGTCCCAGGTTGTAGCGCAGGCCACTGGGGTGAAAATAGGCTGAGAGAACCTCGTCCCGGGATCCTGGCACGGCCAGGTGCCAAAAGTAGATCAAGATAAGACAATACAGCAACTAAAACCTTCCGAAAAGAAAATATTCAAAGGTCCCGCGTGGCGACTGCTTACACATGCTTACGCAAAAATGGGCCTAAGCACTGGCGGAAAAGAAGTCAGCAAGGAATGCCTGCCCAACCAAAGGCCACATGCCAACACCAGAAGACGGCAGCAACAGCAAACGAAACAAGCAATAGCCACAGCGAGAACAACAATGCGGCAGCAACAGCAGCATCAGCAGCATCAGCAGCAACAGCAGCAACAGCAGCAACAGCAGCAGGCACCCAATTCCAGCCAGCCAGACAGCAAGCAAGCAAGCAACCAAACAGCCAGGCAGCCAAGCAGCCAAGTAACCAAGCAAGCAACCAAGCAGCCATCACCGACCATCGGCCAAAAATTGCAAACAAACACCAACCAACACCAACCAAGCCCCAACCAACACCAGCCAGCTGAACCAACTACAGTGACCAGCCACTCAGCCAACCAACAATAACAGGGAGCAGCAGTCCCTGATTCCAAACCTTTCTTGAGCTGGTGGTTTACTCACTAATTGTCGTTTTACATGGAATCCGATCCATCAGTGAATCAGTGACATGTGTATACATGTGTGTCATGTGCTTTTGGGGACCGGACCACCCAGGCCCCTCGGCTTCCCGGCGCCGGCTGAGGCGCTTCAGAGTCTCCGCGGCGGCCTCGCTGAAGGAGCCCCCGAACCCCAGCCAGGACCGGTCCTGCGCGCCTCACGGACGACCCTCTTGGAACGGATTCCAAAAACCATAGAGTTCCGGGGGATTTCAGGGTCTCCAAGCAACCGGCTTCGCGGGAAGGCGTTTTACATCCGAAGTCCTATGGAGAGGGGCCACACACACAAAGGCACAAAGGCACACACGCATACACATACACGGGCACGGGCGACTACAGAAGCATAATATTGGGATACACCTGCCACACAGCAGTCAGCCTCTGCAAACAGACGGACATTTGTAAAAATGAATTAGCAGGGATCTTGCATCTTTCAATGGAGCCTGCCTGCGTGGACAAAGATGCAGGGCGCCTGCGCACCGCCGCTGTGGTCCTCAGGCGAGTGGGCTTAGCTATGCCCGTGGCTGAAGTGTCTGTCTGGAACAGGGCACTGCGCTTGATTGGTTTCACGGACTTTGTTCCTTAGATATCTGGAGTGCATCCAAGCATCTGCGCCCATGGTAGCACTGGGCAGAACCCTGAGTCGGTCTCCGGTTCTTGCCTGGCTGCGGATCACCGTCACCAAGTTCCTTGGAGCCAGCGATGAAGATGCCCATTTGTGCTTCAAGATCCACCTGCTCCTACCTGACAAACAGTTCTACATTCCTTTTCTGGGCTCTTGTTGTCCGTCTCTCGTGCGAATGCCCCCCAATTTCAATTAAGGGGCGGCCGCTGCACGGCATGCGCGCGAGAGGCCCGGGAGGCAGTTCGGCACTGGCGAACACCTTCAAACCAGATGTGATGCGCTCTCCAACTCCAGCAGCCAGGAAGGATGCAAACTGTTGCATTGCAACTAGCGGGGCTCGAAAGCTATTAAAGTATGTGGGGGATCCTACGCAGCATCTCCATATCAATAGTTGAGGTACCTCCATCATTAGCCAATTGTCCTTAACATCATCCAGCCACAGGGCGTGACCCAACCAAAGACTTGCCATCCCGCTACCTAAAAGTGGGGGTTGAAGCCATAAACAAAATGTCCGAGGCCACCCCTCTCCCCTCACTTGTATCAGGAGGGTGGGGATGACAAACGCGCTGCAGCTCCCACCTGGCAGCGCCACTG